GGGAAGTTTAGGGGAGGCTGTGCACACTGGTCCGTGCACAGCTGGTCCGTGCGCAGCATGCTGACGCGGCCCCGGGGGCCGGTGAGTCAGAGCGGCTGTGTCAGCGGAGTCCGAGCTGTGCCGCGCACTGCCGTCCCATCTAATCTAATCGTACAGTAGATAGTGTCGTGTCCATATCGGGTATGTAGTACAGAGGTCGCGGGTTCGAGCCCGCAAAAAGGAAAAAATTAAAAAACAGCCAGATGCCGTGCCAACTCGTGACAAGGGTTTTTGATCCGGTCCACGCTTCGTGCCGCACGCGTCGGACCTCGTAATAACAATTTGTACAATGTATTGGCGACTGCAAATGTTTACGAGTTAGACCACAGGTCTCAGCATTTTTACATTCCAGTGCGCCTCAAAGGAGAAAGACGGCACAAAGACATAATTGCAATGGTGGACAGCAGAGCCACTACAAAATTCATCAACAAATGTTTCATCACGGAGAACCGAGTACAAACGCGGAAATTGAAGGAACCAATCCCACTATACAATATCGATGGAACACTCAATAAAGACGGAAGCATCTCGGAAGTAGCCGTACTACAGATGCAGATAGGAGAACACGTCGAGAAGACAGTGTTTACAGTCACGGACATCGGTCCAGAGGATGTGATCATCGGGTTAGATTGGCTACGCGAGCACAACCCTGAGATCGATTGGGAGAAAGGCTCCCTCAAGCTGTCATGATGCCCCGAAGCGTGCAGTGCCAGGAAGACTGGCCGGATGGAGCAAGCAGCAACTGCGTGTGATACGGGGGTCAGGCCCACGGCGCGCAGGCGTTCGCCGAAGTCCAAATGGTCGGTTATAGGAGCCTGTCAGAGTAAGGTACTCCCGGACGTTGAACCCAAAGTAGATCCAGTAGAAGTCGAATGGGACGAAGCCGACTTGATCGAGGCCTGGGAGCAAGGTATCACACTTTCCGGTGCACCTCAGCTGTTCGTCGCAGCAGGGCATACGTACTCCCAGCTGTTCGCAGAGGAAGAGATCAAGAAAAAGGTTGTCAAGACCACCGAAGAGTCGGTACCAAAACAGTATCACGAGTTCCTGAAAATCTTCTCCAAAGAAGCATCAGAACGGCTACCTGAAAGGAAGCCATACGATCATGTGATCGAACTCGTGCTGGGCTACTCGATGTTCCACTTGAAAGTGTACCCCTTGTCGAACAATGAGCAGGAAGAGCTGGACAAGTTAGTGAAGGAATAGCTGGCGAAAGGCTACATATGGGAATCGAAGTCGCCCATTTCATCCCCCTTCTTCTTCATCAAAAAGAAGGAAGGAACACTTCGACCCGTACAAGACTATCGCCGGCTAAATGTGATCACTGTCAAAAATCACTATCCACTGCCGCTAATCGCCGAGATGGTGGATAAGCTCCGCGGCGCCATGCTTTTCACGAAGTTCGATGTCAGATGGGGATACAATAACGTCCGGATCAAAGCCGGTGACGAATGGAAGGCGGCCTTTGTGACGAACCGGGGGCTGTACGAGCCCCTGGTAATGTTCTTCGGCCTCACCAACTCCCCCGCGACCTTCCAGGCCATGATGAACGAGATCTTCCATGATCTCATCATCGGCGGCAAGGTCCTCGTATACCTAGACAATATACTCATCTTCTCTACCAACAGAGCAGAGCATGAAAAGGTCACACACGAGGTTCTTCGCCGCCTTCAGGAGAACGATCTGTTCCTGAAGCCTGAAAAGTGCGAATGGGATGTTCCCAAAGTCGACTACGTCGGCTATGTGTTCGGTGGCGATGAGGTGGCGATGGATCCCGCGAAGCTGAAAGGAATTAATGAGTGGCCGGTACCCCGGAACAAAAAGGACGTTCAGAAGTTCCGGGGGTTTGCCAATTTCTACTGCCACTTCATCAAAGACTTCGCCAAGATCTCGCGACCACTCGACCGGCTCACAGGGAATGACCCCTGGCACTGGGGTGAAGAGGAGCAACGTGCATTTGACGAGCTCAAGCGACTTTTCGGCACAACCCCTGTACTGGCGCTGTACGATCCCCATCGGGAAACGCGCATCAAAGTCGATGTCTCGGGATATGCCACTGGCGGTGTGCTGATGCAGAAGCAGGACAACGGCAAATGGCATCCTGTCGCCTTCCGATCCCATGCCATGGACTCGGCTCAGCGTAACTATGAGATCTACGACAAGGAGATGCTCGCGATCATCGAAGCCTTGGAAGAATGGCGCCATTACCTTGAGGGGTTACCTAATCAGTTCGAGATCGTGACCGATCATAAGAACCTCGAGTACTGGTGCACGTCCCAGCATCTCACGTGTCGTCAAGCTCGCTGGTCGCTATTCCTGGCACGCTTCGATTTCCGCATCACGCACAAGGCCGGAACGTCGAATGGAAAGGCTGATGCCCTGTCACGCCGATCAGACCATCAGGTCGGCGATGAGGACGATAACACCGATCAGGTGGTTCTCCGACCAGAGAGATTCCGCATCGCCTCCGTCAGGCGCGGTCATGCCTCGGTGACAGCAGATCAGTCACTTCTGAAGCGCATCAGGGAATGTTCGGAGAAGGATCGGGAGGTGGCCGAGGCACTTGAAAAGGTGCAGGACCTCGGACCGCCCCGGCTGCAAAGGGGCCTGGAGGAGTGGAATGCTGAACAAGGGCTCCTGTTGTTCCGCAGGTGTGTATACGTCCCAAAGAACGCGGAGCTCCGGCGGGATATTGTCAAGATCCACCATGATTCGCCGATCGCCGGACATGGTGGTCGGGCCAAAACCCTAGAGCTCCTATCACGGAACTACTGGTGGCCGGGAATGTCTAAATTCGTCAATGAGTACATAAGCACCTGTGACGTGTGCAACCGTACCAAGACTTTCCCAGCCAAACCCCAGGGTCCGCTGAAGCCGAACAAGATCCCCGAGTGCCTGTGGCAGATCATCACAACCGATATGATCGTTGGTTTGCTGAAGTCTGATGGATGCGACTCGATCCTAGTCACTGCCGACCGCTTTACCAAGCAGGTCCACTTCTTTGCCTGTCATGAGACCCTGACGGCAGAAGGTGCGGCGGATTTGTATATCCGCAATGTGTTCAAGCATCACGGGGCCCTGGCCAAAGTCATATCAGACTGAGGTCCCCAATTCACGTTGAAATATCTCCATGTGGTGTACAAGGGACTAGGGATCGAGCCGGCGCTGTCCACAGCGTTCCACCCTCAGACAGACGGCCAGACTGAGCGCTGGAACCAGAAGATTGAGCAGTACCTGCGCACTTTCACAAGCCACAGGCAGGATGATTGGGCAAAGCAGTTGCCACTCGCGGAATTCGCACTGAACAATTGAGTTCACTCCGCGACCGGGCACTCCCCTTTCTTCCTGCATCAAGGGTACAATCCTGAGATCCAAGTGCGGATCAATCCGATGTCTGCGATGCCTGCGGCCGCTGATCGGCTCAAGATCCTGAAGGAAATCCGGGACGACACGCACTCTACGCTTGAGCTGTCAGCCGAGCGCATGAAGGTGTACTACAACAGACACGTGCAGGAGGCACCAGTCTTCGTGCCAGGGGACAAGGTCTGGCTTGATGCTCAGAACCTTAAGCTGAAACAGCCGAGCAAGAAGCTCAGTCCCAAACGCCTCGGACCTTATGCCGTGCGGTGAAAGCTTGGAGACTTGGATTATGAATTAGTCCTGCCAAAGTCGGTGCTGGTGCACCCGGTGTTCCATGTCTCCTTGCTTAGCAAATACACGTGTAGCGAAATCCCGGGCCGGGAACCAGAGGAACCGCCTGCCATTGAGGTTGAGGGCGACGAGGAGTACGAGGTTGAGCAGATCAAAGATTCGAGGATCTTCCGGCGTCAGCTGCAGTACCTCGTCAAGTGGAAGGGTTATGATGACTCGCATACGTCATGGGAACCAGCGCGCAATGTTGCGAATGCGCCGGCCCTCATATCCGACTTCCACCAGAAGAACCCGAACACCCCTTGACACCTCAATGCCACTGCCTTTGGTGGTCTCAACTTTCAGCCAATGCCTTCGCCGCTGACTGAAGCACGCTGCCGCTCCGGGTGGGAGATGGGCAAGGGCACCTCACATGAGGTCATGCGCCATTGAGGGGGGGGTAATGTCACAAGTTGACACAGCGCCTAGCCATTCTTTATTTTTTTCCTTTTCGCGGGCTCGAACCCGTGACCTTTGTACTATATGCCTGAAACGGACATTTCCTTATCTACTGTACGATCAGATTAGATGGGACGGCAGTGCGCGGCACAGCTCGGACTCCGCTGACACAGCCGCTCTGACTCACCGGCCCCTGGGGCCGTGTCAGCATGCTGCGCACGGACCAGCTGTGCACGGACCAGTGCGCACAGCCTGCCCTTATCTTCTCCTGTATATAAGCCGGCCTCTGCTGCCCTAGGGACCTCAGTTTCGACCTCTTGTCCCTAGGTCAGTAAGCCCTCCCTTGTATTTCTTTCTTACCTCACTAACTAATACATTTACTTGTCCCTAGCCTTAGGTTTGAGCACTGCTCACCATCGCTTTGGTGAGACCCAGTCGAATGCCCCCAGCATCCTTGTTTGGTTTTCCCCTGTTGCTTGACCTCAAGTCGCAACAGTTTGGTCCTTGTCACTTGACCCTAAGTCGCAACATTAATGGTGCAGGTGTTGCAGACACATGCTGCTGCAACTCGTTGATGCTGCGGGCGAGCAACTCAAGTGCAGTGCTCTGCAGCTGCTGGTTGTTTGTAAACACATCTTGGTGTTGTCCAAGTGCAGCGATGGCCTGGAAGAGGATGCAGTCAGCAGAGTCAGCAGGGTCCACGCTGGCCTCAGGAGGAGGAGCAGGTTGAGGGGGGCTGTTGGATGCCCACATCGCCCCAGCTCCCATTGAAGCCTTGGTCGAGGCCTTGCTGAGCCATGTGGTGGTGGTTCATGTGGGAGAAAGGATGTCAACAATGAGAAGAAAAACAGGGCACTTAGCTGAAAGAGGAAATGAAATGTCCAAGTGTCTGGTTGTGGTGGAATCAAACTGTAATGGGCACATTGAGCAAAGCACGTACCCGAAGAGGTCCGGATGTTGAACTGTCAAGGGCAAGCAAAGAGATGAGCAAGAGTCACAAACAAAGGGTGCCAATACTGGTGTTGATTTGACGAGGATACTCTTAACGAGGTACACGCGATGTCGGATCTAACGACATTCGGTCAGAGCTTCAGTGAGTAGAATATCGACTCTATTACTGTACCTAACGACATTCGGTCACTTTACAGGAGATCAGTATATGTACAGTACTTAGAGGTAGAAAAAGACTTACGAGCTTCAGTGAGTAGAATATCGACTGAAGCTCACATCGTGAAAATGACAGGTATATAGCGTGCCGTAGTAGGGTGAGTCACCTGTATCTATGGTGCGCGGGCTAAACGAAGAGGATGGGGTATTTACAGACAGGAACAGGGGTGCCAGGGGCGCAACAACATCACACTGATCCCGACGCGATAATGCGACGTCATGCGCGCGCATATCCACGCGGGGCGTACGGACGCGCTTGTCCGTCAACACTCCCCCTCAAGCCGGACAAAGCCCCATCAGGCCAGCGAGGAAGTCGACTTTGCGACGCACCAGGGCCTTCGTAAGGAGATCTGCAACCATGTCATTAGTCGGGCAGTAGTCGAGCGTGGCGCGGCCTGAGTCGAGGACTTTGCGGATGAAATGATAGCGAAGGTCAATGTGCTTGGTGCGAGCATTGAGGAGGCCGTTCTTAGCGATAGTGATGGCGCTCTGGTTGTCAGAAAAGAGAGGAATCGAAGCGGGTGAGGAGGAAGTAAGCTCAGCGAACAGAGCATGTAGCCATAGGAGTTCCCGTGTTGTATCAGAGGCGGCGATATATTCAGCTTCCGTGGAGGACAGCGCGATGATGGGTTGCTTCCATGAGCTCCAGGTGATCGCACCGCTTGTGAACAGGAAGACATGGCCAGATATTGAATGACGATGTGGCTGGGATGCCCAATCAGTGTCCGAATAGCCTGTCAGTCCATCGGTGGACAAGCCAAAGGTGAGACGCAGATCGCGCGTGCCTTTGAGATAGCGAAGCACGCGTTTAGCGGCCTCCCAGTGGACTGGCGCGGGGTTGGCCATGAATTGAGCGAGCGTCGAGACCACAAACACGATATCCGGGTGCGTACCGATCGCTGCGTACATGAGACTCCCGACAAGACGTGCATAGGGTTTGCGGGCCATCTCCCGGCGTTCATCGTCAGTGAGCTCGAGGCCGTGGAGTGTGACATGAGGGTCCATAGGGACAGTGAGTGTGTAGGCATCAGTCATGTTGAAGCGGTCGAGGACGGTGTCGATATATGATGCTTGCAAGAGAGAGATGGTCTGGGCAGCACAATTTCGATGTATCTCAAAGCCTAGCAGCCAGCGTGCTTCGCCGAGATCAACAATCTCGAAGCGAGCTCCTAGTTGCTTCTTCAAGTCGTCCATGATGCGCTTGGTGTTCGTTACCAGCGTACAATCATCGACATGAATGACAATGATGATTATAATACCGGGTAGAAACAGGAAGAACACACCAAAGTCGTGGCAACTTCGTGACAGACCTATCTCATCGAAGAGCTCGCAGATCTTTTGGTACCACAGGCGTCCAGCTTGTTTAAGTCCATACAATGCCTTGAGGAGCCGCCAGATCCAATCCTCGCGTCCTGGAACCTCGAACCCGGGTGGTTGTCACATGTAAATTGTTTCGTTGAGGTCACCATTCAGGTAAGCATTCTTGAAGTTGATTTGATGCACCTCCCAGTCGTTAGCAGCTGCGAGAGCAAGTACGAGACGGAGTGATGCGAGTCGCGCAGTGGGAGCAGCAGTCTGGTCATAGTCGATGCCGTGGACCTGTGAGAATCCCTGGGCGCAGAGCCTGGCTTTGAACTTTGCGACCTCATTGTTTTCATCGCACTTCTTCCGGAGTACCCAGACACACCTGACGACGTTTGCGCCCTTTGGCTTCTCGACCAGTTCGTAGGTGCCCATCGCCTCAATCTTCGCCAATTCCTCCTCCATCGCCACCCTCCAATCCTCGCTCTCCGGGCCTGCCATTGCCTCGCGATAGGTAGGTTCGTCTCCATTCATTGCTGTGAGAGCATGGAGCGTCTCATCCTCCGAGTCCAGCTCCTTTGCTGCATCCGCATATGTCGCGACTTGAGGTCAAGCGACAGGGGAAAACCTAAAAGCTGGGGGCGTCCGACTAGATCTCACCGAAGCGATGGTGAGCAACGCTCAAACCTAAGGCTAGGGACAAGAGGTCGAAACTGAGGTCCCTAGGGCAGCAGAGGCAGGCTTATATACAGGGGAGGTTTAGGGGAGGCTGTGCGCACTGGTCCGTGCACAGCTGGTCCGTGCGCAGCATGCTGACGCGGCCCCGGGGGCCGGTGAGTCAGAGAGGCTGTGTCAGCGGAGCCCGAGCTGTGCCGCGCACTGCCGCCCATCTAATCTAATCGTACAGTAGATAGCGACGCGTCCATATCAGGCATGTAGTACAGAGGTCGCGGGTTCGAGCCTGCGAAAGGGAAAAAATTAAAAAACGGCTAGGCGCCGTACCAACTCGTGACAGCATATGTTGCTCGTTCGGTCATGCTCTCGGGGACCTTCTGAGTGCCACGTCCTCCTGCTGTGCCCTCGCCAGCCTGCAGGTCCTTGACCCACTGCGTCGGCTTCCGAATGCGCTGACTTCTGCGTGGTTCGGTGGTTGGCATGGTCGGCAGGACAGGATGTTCTGGTGCTGTAGTTGCAGCAGGTTCGGGAGCGGCAGGTGCAAGAATGGGAGCGGGAACGGGAGCGGGCATGTTTTGGCTGGATAGTGAGTGCTCCCCCTCAGACGGAACGTGAACGTCCATGGGTGCAGAGCCAGATGCGTCGACAGGGAAGTGCACATCGCGCTCGATGGACACCGAGCGGGTAGTCGGGGAGTATACGTGATGGCCTTTACTGCGCGCATCAAACCCAACCCAGCATCATTCGCGCGACTTCGGGTCGAGCTTGGATGCAGCGTCATGGCGGACCCAAACCGTGCAACCAAATCATGGTAGGTTGGCCAGGTTTGGTTTCATGCCAGTCGCGCGCTCATGCGGGGTCGATCCGGGTGTGTTGCGAGTGGTAGTGCAGTTGCGCAGCCACGCGGCGTGCATGATGGCTTCGCCCCACAGTGTCTTCGGCAGTCCAGCGTCGAAGAGCATTGCACGCCCGTGTTCAGCAAGTGTGCGATTGAGGTGTTTGGCTTTGCCATTCTGCTGTGGTGAGTCGTGCACAGTGAGGCGATAAGCAGTGCCCTCCCCCTCAAGGTGAGCTTCAAACTCCTTGCTAAGGTACTCGCCACCACGATCACACTGCAGGTCCTTGATGGCAGTAACACCTCGATGTGTTTTCGCCCATGCAGCATATGCCTTGTAGCGGGAGAAGGTCTCACTCTTCCGAGACAGCAAGTGCACGACGGCTTCATCTGTGTGATTGTCAAGGAAAAGGACATAGTAGGATTTCCCGCCTGGGGTTCGTACAGGTGTGGGGCCCCAGACGTTGGTGTGGAGGCGTTCACCATAATGAGTGGCCTGCGGGCTGGATCATGTCTTCGGGAACGGCTCGCGGGCCTGCTTTGCCTTGGCGCATGTTTCGCAGAAGGGGATGGCAGTGTCCTCGAGCTTGAGGCCGGTGACAACGTTGTTCTTCACCATCGCATGGAGGGTGGGAGCGTAGGCATGGCCCATCCGGCGGTGAAGCTCGGACAAGGTAAGCGGAGTGACGGCAGCTAAAGCAGTTGCACCACCAGAGGGAGACGTTGGAGGGGGGTGAACAAGGGGGTACAAACCATTCTTCTCAGCAACAATGAACAAAGTTTGCCCATCAGCAGCAACAACATGACAGCCGTCACGTTCGAAGCGGACGCTGAGGCCAGTGTTGGCAGCACGGCTGATGGAGATAAGGGCATGGGGCATTGTCGGAGCATAGAGAACATCACACAGGACGAACTGGGTAGGCTTTCCATTATGAATGGTGGTCACCCGGACATCACCTTCCCCAGTGGTGTGAAAAGTGCGGCCATCGGCGGACATGATTGGCTTCGGCGTGATGTCCCGGAAAGTAATGAAATTCTCCCGGCAAGGATCAAAGTGGTGACTAGCTCCGGAGTCGAGGAGACGCATGAGAGTGGGTAGGTTCTGGCGGGAGGCCTTCGCGAAATCGGTCGCGACTGTGAATGCAAAGGCATCCCCATCTTGGGCTGATGCGGTCTTCGCTGTCTCTCCCCCTGAACCCTTCGCCTTAGCCTTCGCCTTCTGGGCTTTACTCCTTGGCCCTTGTCCCTCCTTGCCTCCGCCCTTGCTCCAACAATCCGGCTTTGAGTGACCAGGCTTGTTGCAGTTGGCGCACTTTGCCGTGTTGCTGGCTATGAGTGCGGCATCACTTGTCAATCATGAGTCATTCAACGTGAACTCATCACGCGCGATTGCATTGATCTGACGAATGAGCTCAGCAGGTTTGATTCCCGAGGAAGGAGTCGTGGGTGTGACCAAGGGAGTGATTGCTGCCTGGGAAAGGGACGAGATGCGAGCCGAAGTAATAATTGTACGTACAACACCCCGGTACGACATAGGAAGGCAAGACAATATAATTGCCTTGTATTCGGTGTCGCTGAGCTGACCCCCGGCCGTCGCGTACTCTGACCTGACCTTCTCGAGTTGGTTCAAAGTCAGGCGAGGGTCGCTATCTTCCGCGCACCGGAGTGCATGCATTTGTCAAAGCAACTCGACTTGTACAAACTCCCCCTGGTTGTCGTATTCATCTACGATGACCTGCCATGCTTTGGAGGCTTTCTGCAAGGAAGCGATCCGAAGCTTGAGGGATTCAGGCAAGGTCTGGAACAGCATCGTCCGTATGGACTGATGCTTCGTGACCCATACGTTGTTCGTGCTCTCATAGCATTCGTCGGCATCCGGATCTACGCCTGGAGCTGTAGTTGGGACTGGAGCCTTGTCGCGGCCTTTGAGGAACCGCACCAATCCTTTCGCATAGACGGCCGCATGGAACTGCTCCTTGTACAGGATCCAGTTCAATCCATCCTCGATTAACTTCGGGATGCGGCTGGTCGTCGACTCGTTCGGATTGAGCTGGAACTCGTAAGAGGAGGCGGGGCTCATAACCTCTTAACGAGGTATGCGCGACGTTGGATCTAACGATGTTCGGTCAGAGCTTCAGTGAGTAGAATATCGACTCTATTACTGTACCTAACGACATTCGGTCACTTTACAGGAGATCAGTATATGTACAGTACTTAGAGGTAGAAAAAGACTTACGAGCTTCAGTGAGTAGAATATCGACTGAAGCTCACATCGTGAAAATGACAGGTATATAGCGTGCCGTAGTAGGGTGAGTCACCTGTATCTATGGTGTGCGGGCTAAACGAAGAGGATGGGGTATTTACAGACAGGAACAGGGGTGCCAGGGGCGCAACAACATCACACTGATCCCGACGCGATAATGCGACGTCATGCGCGCGCATATCCACGCGGGGCGTACGGACGCGCTTGTCCGTCAACAGATACACAGCACACGAGCTACAGGTTTATGGACAGACCAGTAAGTACATTGAGACCGTAGCATACCTGTAAGTATGGAGATAATGATCTTGGCAGGGGGCAAGCGGGAGAGGGATATTACCATAACAAGAACTGGTGTGGCACGCATGCACGCTCGCGATACAAACAGAACAGTATCTACGAATGGCCATTGGTAAGTAAAGATCCTCTTGTACATACAATGGCTGTGTAGTGGTCTTAACCACTACAGTGTGGCCCAGTCAGCCAACGTGAGGGCCACATAGGTTATTAGTGAGGCAGGCCACAGCTTTATAATGGCCTAATTAAATACTCTTTTGTGTCATTGTCTTGGAAACTGTACTTAATGTTACAAAGACTGTTACAAAGACACATAACAATAGAGCACAACATAGGGGAATTGGCAGTTGCTGATGGTGGTGGTGCTTGAGCCGAAGTGTGAAATTCAACTGCGACCATCCAGCATATGGGACACACAGAGCTTATTTTGGAGTGGTAAGCCTGTCGCATGGTGAGACCTTGCTCATGGTCCTGTAGACATAAAAGGCACAACGCGTGAACAACGGCCCACCCTGGACAAAACGAAAGGGCTTTGTAGCTTTCTCCGAGTCACATCTGGTCATGGGTGCGCATAGAGATAGCATACGTCCGGTCTATGAAGATTGCTTACCCACTAGCACCACTGCTCAAGTCAGCCCTATTAGTAGGAAGATTTCGCTAATGCACTGTGGCTATCTTCCAAGCATTGTTGTGATTAATTCCACATGTATTTTAATAAGCAGGGGCGGAGTGGTGTGCATAACTGATATGCAGCCCGGGCCGGTTAGCCAATGCTGAACATGTCATCAGGCCCCGCGGGGTGTAGGTGTGCATTGAAGCTTGATTGCACTTATTGATAGTCAGAAACTTCCTCATCACCAATATGATGCAAGTTGTAAGTGTTAAATTCCGGAATTTCCTTTGTTCTATCCCGGGGCGCCTAATTGACAAGATGAACTAAAACAATGAGTTATATGTGCCAAAGAGAATGGTCTACATCTCCCATCTCCCAAGTCTGAAGGTAACTCAATAATATTGGACTTCCCGAGCCATGAATTTATCACTTCATCATTCCAAGCAGCAGCACGAATGGGAGACCGGAACTATCACAGCGGTCGTGGATAGAAGCAGTGAGATTACGCATCCGATCAGTCTTTGTTCGAAAGAACCATGGGCGTTATCAAGTGCAGGACCAATACCGATGGGAGGCGGTAGCTTGCGTGTGTTTTGATTATGCAGGGTCCCGGCGTATATAAGAAGGGGATCTTAAGCCCTCCTCAGCTTTGTCAACCTTGGTTTGTGCTAACTGTGCGGCAAGATTGGAGAATGGTCGATTCTACTATCCTCCTATACTGTGCGCTTCTTGTCGCCGCTGCCTGGCTGCTGCGCATGCAGTCTAGCCAACGCAGTACCTATCGTACTTTAGGCAACGTACCGGGACCGTCGTCGCACTCTTGGCTGAAAGGTAGTTCGTTTCGACTCTATTTGAGGCATGATGTGACAATTGCCAGGCAATTTCATGAAGTTCTTCGACCGTCATGGGGGGACCTTTCAGCAAGATGTGGCACTCAACTACGGCCCAATCGTGCGACTCGAAGGTCGTTGCGGCGTACGTCTGACCATACATTTGTGCCTGATGTCACTAAACCATAGAATGTCCTTTTCAGCGGAAAATATTATATGTCTCGGATCCAAAGGCGTTGCATACAATGCTCATAAAAGAGGAGAATGTATATGAGGCGACTGACGCATTCTTCGCGTGAGTCGAGCTTCCCGCATAGAAATGAACAAAATTGATGAATCCCCCAGATCCCGAAGATTGATATTTGGAGAGTGCCTTCTAGCGACTGCCGGTATGTTTACACAATTGATGTTGTGATATAGTCACCCTGACTTCACATACCAAGGTGAACATCATCGAAGACAAAGGAAGATACTGAATCCTGTCTTCTCTGTCAGTCATATGCGACACATGCTGCCCATATTCTACAACATCATTTTCAAAGTATGCATTCTTGATCCTACGGTCTTCAAAGATGATCTTCATGCGCTCGTAATAGCTTCGGGAAGTAGTTCGTACCAAAGTGGAGGCGGGAAAGAGTGAGGTCGATGTGTTGGAATGGACCGGCCGCGCTGCGCTGGAGCTCATTGGACAAGGGGGCCTTGGATATTCGTTTGACCCACTGGCGACGGACACAGAGACGAGGAATGAATATGGCGATGCTCTCAAGGCCTTGAAGTTAGTGCGTCTCCATGATGCAGATCGCTTCCGCACTAACACGTTTGGTGTAACACCATTGCCAGTGCAAACCTCATGCAGGTCGAAATATTCATCCGGTATGCAGACGTGCTTATAGAACTGGGACCGCGGCGTTTCCGCCGATTTGTCACGGATATATTTCCACACCCGCACCTACAGCGCGTCAAGGATGTGATCGACACGATGGACGAGAAGTCTCGAGCGATATTCAGGGAGAAGGAGACTGCACTGGAGAATGGGGATAAAGCGGTATTACACCAAGTCGGCGAGGGGAAGGATATCATGAGTGTCTTTAGTACGTTTGTGCATAGTCAAGACTCGCTCGATGTACTGATTTACATCCAGTCAAAGCAAACAATGCGGCATCAGAACAAGACAGGCTTCCCGAGAATGAGCTGATTGCTCAGATGTCGTAAGTAATCTTCCAAGCTCGCATTAGCCAGGTCTCACTGGCGGATCAGTCTGTTACTTTCCGCCGCTACAGACACCACCTCGAACACGTTGAGTCGGATTCTTTACTTACTGGCAGAGCACAGAGAGCTTCAGAGCAAGCTGCGCGAAGAGATTCTGGAGTCTGATGCAGGGAGCGGTAATATCTCTTACGACGAGCTGAACAAGCTTCCCCTGTTGGATGCCGTCTGCAGGGAGACTTTGAGACGGTAAGCCATATCTATGACAGTGGTCCATACATGTCAGAAACTGACATCCCTCTGTAGGTATCCTCCGGTGACAAATCTGGTTCGGGCGTACGTGCAGGATCGCTTTCGTGTCTTTATAATTTTAATGTGCCGCTTAGACCTAGGAAGGATTCTGTACTTCCGCTGTCTGAACCGATCTGCGGTGTTGACGGGACAATGATGAAGGAAGTGGCTATCCCGAAGGGCACAGAACTCCTTATCGGTACGTTCGGGTGCAACGTCAACAAAGCGCTGTGGGGCGAGGATTCCCTCGAGTGGAAGCCCGAGCGCTGGCTCTCCCCTCTGCCTCGCGCTGTGACTGAGGCCTCGATCCCTGGTGTCTATTCCAATTTGTGAGTCGTGAAATGAATGAGATCCGAGGCTTACGCTAAATATCGTGAGATCAGGATGTCCTTCATGGGAGGCAAGCGTGCATGCATGTGAGCGGATCCTGTAAGCTGGACTTTCTTGGGATTGATGACGCATCCACGCAGCGGATTCAAGTTCTCAGAGATGGAAATGAGTGAGTTTTCCGGGCCTTTTCTACAATTAATCAAGCTTCATTGAACCTGCAGAGGTTGTTCTGTCTGTCATGCTGTCGAACTTCACCTTCGAGTTAACAGACAAACCGATTGAGTGGAATATCGGGGTTGTATGGTATCCGACAATCGGGAGGCACAGCGATCTACCTCAACTGCTTCTCAAGGTGGGGTTATATAAAGCCTGATCTCGCATACGTCCTGTTCATGACTTCCACGAACATCACTGTTGCGATGTGGAAAACACGAGTTGGTTGAAATGAGTTGATCCATGCCAATCCCCGACGTGTCTGCTGTAGGTTTATGTCTACGGTTATTCTAGGCTATGTGCTCAAGTTGCTTCAGTATCAGCTCGATAGCGGGGTTAAGTTCCACGTTTTGACATCCCTGATATGCTGGCCTAGGGACCCATATACTGATACAGTCAACCTCTTCAATCAGGGCTGGTCAGCAGTGGCAGCTCCTAGACTGTCAGCAACATAATGATGGCGACACGCACAGCGGCGTTGCTCGCGCCACCTTCAGATGCTAAGCAAGTTTTTCTGGACATGTCAAGGTTCCACTGTGGTAGTAGCTATGGCAGCGCTCCGCGCCGCACCGCGAATGTGCACGACGGACGGTTTCTGTGCTTGTTGCGCCCCCGCTGATCTAGCGAATTGGGATGATGCGGCACAGGGCTTCGTAGAGTCGTCACCTCAGACATTATCAACATTACCACAACGAGGCGTCTCAGCTTGTCGCATCATGTCCCGGACGTCTGAGAGCTTCCGTCAAACCTGAGCTAGAATCTGCACCTGGCAAGGGCCAGGGCCCCTCGGGATAAAATCCAGACTAGGATCGCGGGGCTTACACAAATATCATCGATCCGCCACCATCACGGTCAATTTGTGTTGTCCAGCGTACTCCCGATGTATGCAAATCTCAATATATGCACGATGATGTCGGGCAAGCAGGAACCGTATTGCGTCCAGATTCAGCAGATGCACTCCGGCCGGTCATATTTGATAATAATCTCAATCCAGGCGGCGCAGCGGATACAGATTCGACAGCGAAAAATCAGTACTTCTACGCTACAAAATACACTGATAGTGAAGCATACTCCTTTTTGCGGACCCGTTTTTCCCATGTAGAATACATGCACACATCCGAGAGATGTGGACTTGCAACTGAGGGCCCTTCTCCGCATATGACCGTGAAAAACCAATGGCAGCGCGGCGCCGAGCGATTATCGTGTCTTAGCGGGCTTGCGTTTCACTTCCTCGTCTTTACAGGCGTGAAGCATCACTTTGTTAGGATGACTGGGCGTCATCCCAGAGTGCCCTTTCGACCAATCATACGAGACAGCGTAGGCAAAGATCGTCCCGGTGCGGTTAAAGCACGTCGTAGCAATCGGCCCAGGAGCAGGATCAAAGGCTGAAGGAATGGGCTTGAAATCAGAGCGTTCAAAATAACAGAGTAAAGGAACTTACACTTGAGACGCGTGCGGGCATCCTTGTCCCAGTAGTTGATGGTTCCATCAGCCCCTAGCGCAACGAGCATCAGTTTGCCAAGTCGGTCGTTAGGGGGTAGAGCAGACCAACCGCATGTTGAGAATGTTCCGTGAACAGGATGGAATGAAATATCGTTGACAGCGTACACCAGAGATTGATCTTTCTGCGTTGGTGACTGGTCTCGTCGATGACATTTGAAAGAGAAGTTATTGCTGCAGATGATTGTCGTAAGCGTGCGCACATACCGCGGCGGTGTAGGTATAAACGTACCTGGAATTTTTGTCATCTACATATCTGTGAGACGGCATGATATCTTAGAAACTTGCACCAGAATCAGAAATAACGACGTACTGAATTGCAACGCGGCCTTCGACGCTGCCAACTGCAAACCCATCTGCTGCGGGGAAGCACGACACAACTCGTGTCTGCCACTTCAGGGGCGACGCCATTGTCTGCTTTCTACATTAGCTCAAATAAATGGAAGACAGTTGCACGAGGAACCTTAAATGCGGTAGTAGGATTTGAGAGGTTGAAAATTTGGATGTGGCGCTCGGCGGTTCCTACCACCATCAAGGGGTAGACTACATCTAGGGTATAACACCGCTCTGGCAATTGCACAGTCGAAACGGGATTCGGAGTGCGCAGATCCCAGTACTGTTGTGTCGCGTAAGAATTCCAGATTCCAGGGACAGGACGGGGGGTCAGTTGCCATTCACCTTTAACGTCTTATCCCAACTGCCGGTCACGAGGACGCCCCCTTGTGGAGACTCAATCCAACGAACGCATTTGATGGGAGCATCGTGCTGTGCCACTTGGGTTGATTGCCCAGTTGTAATGTCGAACATGCGACCAGCATTGTCTGCGCCGCCCGACAAGATCTTTGTTCCGTCCTTAACGCGACGTCAGACTCCGACTCAGAGGAGAGGGAGGACCCGTACTTTGTTCCAGCAGACACTTAGCACAGGCCCTTGATGTGCGTACATCGCCTTGCCTTGTGTCTGACCATTCTGGCCCACCTCGTATATCCGGACCTGTGGCGAATAAAGCAACCGACGCGTTTAGGTTAGGCGGCTTCCCTAGTCCAGTAATGTAAAACCGACGTTATTATCCCAGCTCGCCACCGCAAGATAGTCTGCTTGTGACGAAAACGAGAGGGACGAGATAGAATCGGTTGGGGGGTCCGCAACCTCGATATCCTTGTCCGCGGCCGCGGCCGTGTTGGCTGTAGTGGACGACGATGCAGCTCCAAAAAACGACATCTTCTGAATGATAGCTAGTGATACCGTGTCGGTCAGGGTGTGAAAGTTGCGACAAGGATATTTCACGTACGTTCAACTCCCAGTTGACTTGAGCCACGAGCGGTTCCGAGTAAGTTGAGCGACCACAACGAGCGCTCTACGATGCGCGACTGCCATTGGGATCACGTGCGCTTACGCGTGGCATCGACGCGACACAATTTCTAGCGCGCCCTCCGCACATTACCGTCTTCGAGCACGTCTCGTCTTTCCCTACTCATTCTGCGGATCCCGACGGTCTGGGCACGTCTTGGAGCGCTCTTCTATCTCTCCACAAACTGCTTCATCTAAGGCTATCTAATATCACGCATATACCTCTGGCGTTCAAGTGCCACAACACGCAAGTGCGTAAACGGGCTACACTAACTGTACACGTTTCCAAACCTCCATTTCAGTGCCTGTAGAGACAGCCTTATATGATCTTCTCGGTGTACATCCCGAGGCCAGCGAAGGTGAGTAGCTAAATGTGTTTGCCTTGTCTCAACGCCCAACAATCGCCATTGTCTCCAGACGATATTAAGAAAGCGTACCGGAAAAAGGTGCATTCACTGTGCCTGACGCATATGCTGTACCCAACTCATACAACTATCACGTAGGCCAGGGAGCACCACCCAGTACGTTTCTACAGTCTGCCTCCGGGAAGGATTGTTGACGATGGGGACTGACATTGCAGGACAAGGTCTGACCTTTGTGAGGATGCATTTGGCGTACTTTGCTGATGGCTATGATAGAATCCTGATGATCCTTTGGCGGGACAGAGATTTCAGGAGATGGCCGCTGCGTGCGTGATCTGCGAGCTGGTCTGTCTTCAGTTGTCTTTACGCTCTCGCTGTCCTTCAGGTACGAGATTCTCAGCTCAGCGGAAACACGAGAAATCTACGACCAATTTGGCGCGGACGGCCTGTCTAAAGGTGGCCCGCATGGACCCGGAATGAACCCGGAAGACGTCTTTTCAGAGCTATTCAGCCAAATGAATTTCGGCTTTGACTTCGGCCCTGGTTCGCGGAGACGAACAAGAGGCGAGGACTCCGTCATTCCGTACGATGTGTCACTAGAGGACCTCTACAACGGCAAGACGGTGAAGCTGAACATGGAGAAGGAGGTTCTGTGCGGCGTGTGCAAAGGGTAAGTTAATGCCTCATAGGCCGCTCTTGACCGTTCATGGGAGCCAAATGTCCAGGACAGGCGCAAAGGGCTCAGCAAAGCCGAAAAAATGTGTGAAGTGCGAGGGCAAGGGCTGGACAATGGTCTACAGCCAAGTCGGTTGGTCCTCCTATCTCCGCGAACAGCCTCTCAACTTCCATCATAGATTGGACCTTCTCGCGTGGGCACATCACGGGCAATGTGCACAGACTGCGAAGGCCACGGCGAGAAGTTGCGGGAAAAAGACCAGTACAGAGCTCCCATCTCATGTCCTTGATTGATAGCCTGATTGGATGACAGATGCAAGAAGTGCAAGGGTCGAAAGACAGTCAAGGAGAAGACACGACAAGAGATTTTCATCGAGCGCGGTATGACAGATCGTCAAAAAATCGTCCTGGCAGGGGCCGGCGATGAAGAGGTACCTGATCATCTTGTGATATCCCCAATGATCAACTTTCTTATGCCGCCACTAGCCAGGTGTCCCCGCCGGCGATGTGGTTTTCGTTCTGCGTACCCGTAAACATGATTTGTTCGAACGGGCAGGCAACGACCTCCTGACGACCGTGCATATCACCCTGTCTGAGGCGCTCTTGGGCTTCTCACGGATCCTGCTGACACATCTAGACGGCCGTGGCATCCATGTATCGAGCCCACCGGGGAAGGCCGTCCAACCTGGGGGCACCATCGTCCTGCGCGGCGAGGGCATGCCCGTCCACAAGAACTCGGGCCACAAGGGCAACCTTTACGTCATACTTGAGATTGATATGCCCGACGAGGATTGGCTCCGTTCCGTCGATAGGGCGGTACGTCCCTCTGCTCCCTCTGAACTGCTTGAATCTCATCCTCACTCTGCATACACTGTACACGTTAGGCGCTGGAACGGCTCCTTCCGCCAAAGAAGCTCGAGATGGACCCGCGGCCAGAGACCATAGACGAGGTGCCATACGAGGAAACGGACATGGCGGACGTGCGTGCCCCGCCCTTCTCCGCTGGGTCGCCCTTCTTTGACCACTCCGGTTTTGGTTTTGGCCAGCAGTTCGGCGAGGGCGATGAGAGGGACTGGGTCGATGAGGACGATGAGGACGAGGAGGACGGTGCGTGGGGCGCGCAGCCTGAGTGCTCGCACCAGTAATCTGCGCCTGGTTCCCTCGGGATCGCTCCTACGCCATGGATGGGATCTTTCGTGCATGTCCGTGCTATGTCATCTACCACTTACTATACAGCGACACCCCTGCTTATTGTCGTGCATTCTCCACTCTGCATAATCTTGGATCATAGACTCTGATTCGGCGCTTGATACAGACATCATATCCTACGTACGATCTACTTCCATTGAGACTGCGTCGCAACGGTGGCAGAGCCTAACTGGGGACATTTCTCCTTCGAGCTTTAGCTTCACTTTCTGACGCCCGCTAGGCACGTCGCGTTGCTGTGTATGAAAGAGCGTCGTAACGCCACTCCTTGGACATCGTACCACTATTCGCTGTGCATATATGAGTACGCTTGCAGTATGGACGTTACTGGGGCCGACGTCTTTCCCGTCCACTCACCATGTCCCATGCATATGATTCGCTTACATCTGAGAGCGGGGAAACAACTTCCTTGTTTTCCGGAATGTTATCTCAGCCTCGAGCGGGCCTCTTGGGTATGCTTGGCGGACTGATGATTCTTGCAATCCCAGATCGCCGGGGCGTCCTCAGGTTCACGTCTGATGCTTCCGCCGGCTAGGTCCAGTACTTGGTTGTACGTATGATCTAGTGCGCCGCTCAATGCCCACTAGCGTACGTGTGGTACAGCATCAGACAGCATCCCGTGTGAGACCCTGCTGCGCCCATAGATCAACAAATGCGGCGCAGGCTCGCCCTGAATATGCGTCCAGTGTGCTGCCCATATGTATGATTCAACGGGCTATAGGTGCGCCGCTCATATACGATGCTTACGTGAATGGATCATTGACTTGTGTGATGTGGCAGTAAGGCTTACAGGGCTTGTTGCGGCTGTGTACGCACAACGATCGGACTCTTCACTGAGTTCGAACTAGCCTGAACTAGCCCGTGTTTTCCGACGGAGCAATCGCTCGTCATCCTGCAGTGTCCTCGGACGCCGATACATGTGCGCTGAGTTGACTGCAAATCCGACAAATGTGGTTCCTTCATGATGCATCAGTGATTTGGTGGCGTACAAAGTCTGAACAGCTGTGTGTTGCACGTTTGACGAGGTGTGAGCTCGACACTAGAGCGAATCGCATCAGAATACTATTCCCGCGTTCAGCGCTTTTGGTGCGTTGCCCCTGTCGATCCTGGCTCAGTACACGCTGATTTGGAATTTCGAAAGACTGTGATTGTTTTGACAAGCACGGTGAGCGGATCACCAGGTACCCGCATGCAGCTGCGTATGATCAACGGGGTATACCTTCCCGAATCTGCGGTACAGCATTGGATGACACTGGGCAGTGGTCTCAGTACGTATTTTGTATGTCGTCGCCATGGAAATAATTGAGTGAACCCTGATACTTTACTAGGCAGGAGGCTAAACGTCGGAGTGGCCGGAGCAGGCGAGTGCGCGTCGGCCGCGGAGTGGCAAAGAGCCAGTCCGATCAACGATCGAGATCTCTCCAGGCCCCATGAATCAGGCGAGATCACGTGTGTCATTTATTATAGTGGTCTGACTTTCAGCTGCATAAAAGAGCCTCTGCGCTCCTCGCCATCGTCTTTCTCCCATCGCCGTTGCTGTCGCCGTCGTCGCTGCTGTCGACGCCCCTATACCCGTCTATCTCACTGTCCATCTCAGGTGACTCGTGGCCATGGATCTCGTCCTCAATATCTGTGACGACCTCATTCTTGACAAGGTCTGGGCAATCGTCCTGCCCGCCTCTGCTTTCGCCTCTTCCTCGAGTGCGGCGTACCTTCAGTCTGCATTGAACGGGAGCACATCACATCTACCCATCATTTCTTCGGACGCCAGTAAATGGTCACAACTAATCTCATACATCCCTCATCCTCCTATTTCTGTGGGAGCACTCTCGCCTCTCGCATCGTCGACATTCGGCTCTGCTTGGCCGCGGGACTACGTACCTCGACAACTCATCTCGCTCCTCGTCCTCACACTTATCGGCATCCACATCCTCTACTTTACGTTCGCCTGGTTGTCATATAAATTCATATTCAACCACGAGATGATGAAGCACCCCCGATTTATCAAGGACCAGGTCAAGCTCGAGATCAAGCACAGCTTGAGGTCATTCCCCTGGATGACTCTCTTCACGTTGCCGTGGTTCCAAGGAGAGGTCATGGGTTACTCGAAGCTCTACGACGACGTGAACGAGTATGGCTGGGGCTACTTCGTGTTTTCCATAGTATGGTGCGTTCCCGCGTTCCCAGCTCATCTCACTCGATGATACCGGTGCTGATTATTATTGTCCCATATCAGGTTCTTGATGTTCACAGATGTTTCCATATACTGGGTTCACCGGTGGGAGCACAATCCGCGCTGGTACAAATGGCTGCACAAGCCCCACCACAAGTGGATTGGTGAGTATTTTCCCGCCGGTATGGGAAACTGCGCAATGCGGTATTGACTCCGACCCTCGTTGCAGTACCCACCCCATTCGCCTCGCACGCGTTCCACCCCCTCGATGGTTACTTGCAGTCTGTCCCGTACCATCTCTTCATTTTCCTCTTCCCGCTGCATCGCAAGCTCTACCTCGGCCTGTTCGTCTTTGTGAATTTCTGGGCCATCTTCGTGAGTCTCAGACCCTGTTCTCGAGATGACCCTCAGCCTAACCGTGCACGCGACAGATTCATGACTCTGACATGATTACCGGGCACCCGCTTGAAAAGTTCATCAACGGGCCTGCACACCACACGCTTCACCACCTCTACTTCACGGTCAACTACGGCCAGTACTTCACCTGGGCAGACCGCATGGGCAACTCGTACCGGCAGCCGGCATCCGAGCTCGACCCGATCCACGAAGTCAAGGCCGCCGAGGCGAAGAACCAAAAGGCGGCACTTGGGAAGGATCTCTGAGTGTCTGTGCCGCGGTGTAATCTATTACTATTAGTGTTGCTATTTGTTTTCGCGGCGGGCGTGGGAGGCGTTGAGGGGCCGTTCTCATCACCTATTACTTATGCTGTATTCTCCCGTCCATTAATTTCCCGGTGCTATCGTCTAAACCACTCACCCCCATTATCGCTGCTCTCGTACCGGACGCATTGCGCAAGACAGATTCACTTTGCATCATAACGTGTGACTAAGGGACTATCTCGTGCATGTTCGACTCCAAGAAATGTCCGCGTGTATTATACAAGTGATTGCATTACAAAAAGTGAGCTTGAATGTGATACAGAGGCGTACACATACTTTGTCGAGAGTATCCGAAGTACTACCGCTTCTCCTTGACGTAGAAGTGTAAGACGAGGTAGCTGGAAACAGTGAACGTGCCGAAGAAGATTCCCAACAGTGAGATGTTCGGCCACCAGAACGACTATAAATACTACGTCAGCAAGCATACGCCCCATAGTTAGCATACCTCGCTTACCTGAGCTTTTAACCCGAAAGTGGAGAGGATTGCAGCGGCCGGAACGTCGATGTCGACACCATACTATTGGCATGTCACGCGTCAGCTTCGACAAGATGGTCGTCAGTGGCGCACCTTATTTTCCTTCAACTGCAAGTATCGGAGCTCGTTGACAGATAGCGCCTCAAATGCAGCGTGGAAGAACGAGACAAGGTTTAACCACTCCCAAGTTGTGCCGAGGGTCTGGCGGTTGATCAGCAGGCCGGCGAAGAGCAGGCTGCAACGAAGAACTCGTCAACATGGTATTTCCGCAGCTCATCGGTGAAGACACACTTGAATAGCATGATCAGGGTCCCGATAAGGCTAGCTACGCTTGTGCTGGCGAACGCGATTGAGAGGAGGAGGATCACGCTGGCCGTCGTGAGATTGAACAGCACAAGAGTGAGTATGAATTTCCAAAATGCCGGAGCGGTGGGAACTAGGCCAACGAGGCCGTACACAATCGCGCCGTAGATGAGAGGAGGGATTACACGCAGAGGAGCGATGTCGAAGAGAATCTACAGCGGCATCAGCTGAAGTGACAACTAGTGCATGAAGCATCCTTACCTTCGAGGCAAAGTAAGTGAACGGCGAGTAATATCCATTCGATCTGCGAACATCTCAACGAACTATTCGACAGCGTGGTGGACGCCGACAGTACCTTTCGCGCATGAAGAGTATCCTTTCATTTGCGAATAAGCTGAGACTTGATAGGCTAGAGAAGCCAAAGAGTGCAAGCGTGAAGAAGAAAACACCTGGATATGAGGAGTGCGTGTCAAAACTGAAACACATCGGCAATAATACAACTCACCCAATCTGTTCTGGAATCCAGCAATATCATTGCTGTGAAGCCAGTGTAAGGGTTAGTCTCGTCTTCGATAACTGCTGACTAGGAACGTACGTGACGTTGTGGTAGAAGAATCCACAGATCACTGGATGGGCAAAACACATCAGTACTGGAATGGCGAGAGGAGTCAGGCTACACCAACATGCAACGGCGACCGCAGACGAGTAGTGGGTGATGAGTAAGGCAGGGTCCCGGTACAAGTTCTTGAAGGCCCTACCACTGAGGATGCGGAACTGAGTGCCCCAGCCAGCGCGCTTGCGACCACGCGTAACCGAGTTCTCTACTGCAACATCTGGCAGATCTGCTGTGCGTGAGACCTCTTCTAGATCCTGCTTCAAGGCGGCGTAAATAGCGCTATTGCCAAAAATATCCACCAACGCTTGTAGCCGAGGCGGAAGCGGTGTGTCCCCTGGGTGCGAAGAGGGCGTGATGGACTGCAGTAACTGCGAGGTCTTACGCTTGACGTATCCAGTCGCAGAGCCGGCGACAGAGGACGCGCGGGGCTGAAGCTCGGTCTCGTCTGCGACAGTAGACGACGAACGGTCGTGCGAACGACCAGAGACAGACGAAGGCGCTGCACCCTGATCGAAGGCACGCTCCTCATCGCGAAGGTTATCATCGTCAGACGTCGACAGCTCCGCCGCCGGGCTTTCGAGCGACCGAGGCTCCATACCAGCGTGCATTGTGAGGTCGACTGTTGAATCGGTGAGTTCGGAGATCACGGCAAGAACGTGGCATAGTTGGCGTACTCAAGAAATCAGCCAGGTTGAAGCCTGGGGGGCACGGGTGGCTAATGTCTACCAAGTATTCATGACACTTCGCTGCTTCGCCTGAGTACACGAGCTTGCCCTGGGCGAGGACGATTAGCTGATCGAAAAGAGAGACGATGTTGCTGCGCGGCTGATGGATAGTAAAGACGACTGTGCGGTTGTAGTCGCGCGCAAGGGTCACCAAACTCTCGACAACGCTGAGAGCATTAAATGCGTCGAGACCTGGAGCAAGTATGAATATGGACCTTCGTAATGAATAATAAAGACCAACCGCTTGTGGGCTCGTCCAGGAAGAGGATCGAGGGGCTTGTCACCAGTTCACAAGCTATGGACACACGGCGCTTCTCACCACCAGAGATGGATCGCCGCCCTTTTGACTCTTGTCAATACGAATACAACGGTTGACCAGTCGACATACCCGCAGAACCAATCCTCGAATCCTTGATTCCAAGGATACCCAGTTCGTTCATTGTCTCTAGCGTCCTATACTTCTTCGCCTCGAGGCTCATCTCGCGTGGCAGCCTAAGCAGCGCTGAATACAGCACGGTCTCATAGACAGTCAATGTGCTCATCAGCGTGTCTTCCTGATCAACAAATCCGACGACCTTCTTGAAGTCCGTGTCTGAAACCTCGCGCCCGTTGACCAGCATGTGCCCGCTCACCAGCCCGCGCTTGTTCTTGCGCGCGAGGATGTCCAGGAACGTCGACTTGCCTGCCCCCGACGCGCCCATGATCGCCAACAGCTGTCCCGGCTTCGCGGAGCCGGAAATACCCTCGAGGATCGCGCGCCCGCCTAGGCTATACGCGATATCGGAGAAGTGCAGAGACGCGGGGACGTGTTCCGACATGAGTTTCGCCGTCTCCGTCTCGGGCAGGCGGATCTTGCCAAAGTCACCGCTGCGCGTGCGCCCAGCGTACCACAGCACAGCGAGGCCGGAGAGTACAATGAGGCCGATGCCAGCGACGCTCAGCGCGATCCAATTGCTGTTGTCTGGCTTTGGGGGTGGCTGCAGGGAGTCATCATGAAGGGACCTTGTGTGCTGGTCTTACGTTAGCACTCACCACATAACCCGGTACCTGAGAGTAGTGCAGGCACTCGCCGCCGTTGCACTCGAGAGTGATATAGCCATCGCCGAATATCGTGTCTATGAGCTCGTTCATAGCAGGTTCTTCAAATTTACATCCACCTCCTGGTTTGCAGGTGAAAGACGCAGGTCCCCGGATCTCATCCTTCAGGAAGTCCGAGATATCTGCACGAATGTCATCGACCGAAACAAGCTGCGATTCCGTCTAGACGTACCTATACTGCCGTTCTCCCCACAAATAAAGCGGCCTGGCACACACTTGCACTGAATGTGCTCGCAATCATAACGAGTTGCGTTGATACCGGCAGCAGGGTCCGCGCCCGAAGTGCAAGTGTCGAGCGAGCAATAAAAAGACTCCTCCTGGGCAGTCCAGAACTGAAACTGGCACGTGTCGGTCTGCTTGTTGCAACTGAAGGTCACCTCAGGCGGGCGGTCCGGAAGCATATCGAGGATCTTCCGGTCTATGAAAACTCAGCTATGCTCTCTTGCGGTGGGCGAGACGAGCGACTCACTGGTGACCTTGCACATCTGATGGTTCTCGAAGACTGTCAGGCCCCCTTTGTAGCATGTCATGTTGTTGATCTCCTCCCCGTCCTCCAGTGGCTTGCCAGCCAAAGGGAATCCGCGGCATGCATCGTCGGTCTCGCATACTGTACCGGAATGAGCTGGAGAAGCCTGAACGTTGTGGCTCCGTACCATTACAATTGACACCGCCCCAGCCGTCCTCGCAGTCGCACTTCTGCCCTGGTTCCCGTTGTCGGCGCTTCTCTCCGTCCGCGAGCGAATCACACTCTGAACGAAACTTAGCACGAATTCGCAGACACACCGAAACGACGCACGTGGAGTGAGACAATCTATCCCTGCCCACCCCGGTGGGCATTTACACTGTCCATCGTAAGTAGAGCAGTCGCCAAAGTGTCCACAGCTGAACGCGTCGAGCTGACAGTTGAAGCATGGCGGGCACTCCGCTGCCGGGCTATCTCATCAGTGCGCACCATGGCTACACCCATGAACCCTTACCTGGTCTCGAGCTCATAACTGCTAGAGGCTGCAAGTACTCAGTTATGAGAGCTCTGGCTCCACGACGTACAGGCATACCGATAATTCATAGCCATACAGGTCTGATGTGGGGTTCGCGGAGATGTTCTTCGACGCTGCTAGACTTATTGAAAGTACCAGCAGGCCGGTGAGCCCGCCGTGTATTGACGGAAACATGACCTTTTGTTGCCCACAGCGGGTATCCTGAAAGTGGTACAACGAGAACAGATAGAGTACGTAGGTGAGGAGACGCAGCAATGTCCGCGCCCAGGCCCTTCAAGCTTCAATCTCCGAAACGTACACATCTAGCTCCGAAATGTGTATTATAAGCTCCGCTTACCGAATACTGATCTCAGCGACGTCATATAAGTCTTAGTGTTCTGCCTGCTGCAGCGAGCAGCGTGAGTACGGCCATGGATCTTCTGCTTGAACTTCTGCTTCTGGCGACAAGTTGGATTCATGTTCTCCTGGCGCCTTACACAAAAGTCGAAGAGAGTTTTAACTTGCATGCTGTGCACGATGTGCTCATGTATGGTGTCGGCCATGAGGCTCTACTCAATGTATGCTACATCTCTTCATTAATTCGGGTCAATACAGAACTGAGTACTCAAAGTACGATCACTTCATTTTTCCTGGAGCAGTGCCGCGGACATTCATAGGGGGTCTCTCGCTGGCATGGTCGTCATATCCAGCAATCCTGGTCGCCCAGAAGCTGGGCTGTGTCAGAGACAAGTCTGACCTGCAGATCATCGGTTCGTACTTGTACTGCCTTTGGTTTAATTCAGTTCATTGCATGACATCTACGTGACTGCAGTTCGATTGGTTCTGGCCACTGCGAATGCCATGATTCTGTGCCTCATACGACGTGCACTCTCGCGTCGGTTCGGAGGGCCTACCAGTCGTTTCTATGTGCTTTTGACCTGCACCCAGTTCCATCTACCATTTTGGATGGGCAGGACGTTGCCAAACATGTTCGCCCTGATTCCTGGTGCGCTCAGAACAGCCCTCTTTGAAATGTGCTCGAAACCGATGACGGATGAACCTCAGTCAATCTCGCGCTTTACTTCTGTGTGAACCGCGGCCCGACCTCGCTTCGTCCGTCCCAGCGCAACTTTGACCGTGCACTCGCACTTCTTGTGTTCACTGCAGCTGTCTTTCGCTCGGAAGTTGTTTTACTACTTGGTCCTCTCGCACTTCAAGCCCTCTTCTACAACTACACGACATTTGGTAGGCTGTTCAAAGTCGGAGTGCTCTCTGGGACCGCGTCCGCCGGTTAGTATCTGCCCAGTTGCAGTCTAGAGTATCCATTCACAATGTCTGCATCGCAGCGGCAACTATACTCACGGATTCGTACTTCTGGCAGAGATGGCCCCTATGGCCTGAGCTCTATGGGGTCTATTTCAACGTCATTGAAGGCAAGAGTGCCGAGTGGGGCGTAAGCGATCGCGCGCTTCACGGTATTTCATGATTCTCAATGCACTGTCCGCAGGTCTCGCCATTCCACACCTACTTCACGGCATGCCTTCCTAAACTGTTGCTCTCTTCCTTGCCTCTGTCTATCCTTGGGTTCCTGCTTGATTCGCGTGTCCGTGAACCTATGTTACCGGCACTCGCATTCGTCCTCCTCATCAGTTCACTGGGGCACAAGGAGTGGCGGTTCGTCGTGTACGTCGTCCCCGTCTTCAACATCGCAGCAGCGAAGGGCGCTTCATGGCTGTAAGTCCCCAAGTCGAAAGCGCTGGTCGCCGACGAGCTCATCTACCTGAGCGTGCAGGTCATCGCGACGAAAGAGCACCGTCTTCGGTCGACTCTGCTTCCTCGTCGTAATAGGTCTCCTGTGCTGTAACGGCTTTGTAACGTATATGCTCACGGCAGCATCCATGCACAACTACCCGGGAGGAGAGGCCCTCTCAACGTTCAATAACCTGTATGTCGCGCAGGAAAATGGTACCTATCCCGGCCAGCGTCCGAGCTATTCAGGAACTCAGTTGACCTCTGCTGTTGCAGTGCATGTACACATATCCAACCTCGCCTCACAGACTGGTGCCTCCCTCTTTTTGCATACGCATGCACCGCCATACCTTCCCGGCCTGGAGGTTGCGGATGCTTCCGCCGCCCACAATTGGACTTACAACAAGACCGAGCACCTCTCGCCTAAGGCACTATCTGCCACGAGCGAGGTCACGCACCTGATCGCTGAGATGGACACCTTTGCGGTGCTCTCATCACGGTTCACCAGCAGCCCCTGGACGCAGGTCGAGGCCGTGGAGAGCTTTGATAGGTGGTCGCTCAACACTGGCCTGCGGGGAATTGTGAAGCAAGGCTTGATGGACAGCATAGACGCGTTGTTGCACCCGCTGCGAATGGTTAAGAGCGAAAAGCTTGTGATTCTGGAGAGGAAAGGGGCGTAATAGGGATACCGTGCGTGGGTCAATGCAACTATGTCGTGCGAAGCTGACTTAGATGTGGTTTGAATATCACTTATTTTGATTTTCCCTACTCAACGTTAGTCATGCTTAGCTCTGCCTGGCTTCCAAGATAGTCTGTCTGAGCCGCTTGATGGCCTCCTCGACCTCATCTTCTGCCAACAAACTGAACGCTGCCCTGACATAGGCGGTCTTACCGCCCCGCGGCAGAAACACTGTCCCAGGCAGAGCTAGCACGCCACGCTCGTATGCCTTCGTCCTGATGATGCTCTCCGAGTCACCCTCATCCCCGCCCAAGAGCAGCTTGAACCTGTCCGCGCGTTAGCCACATACGCGGAGGCAGCATGTTAAGACGTACCAGAAGAACATGCCCGCCTCGGGCGTGCTCCACTCCGCGAGACCCTCGAGGTGTCGCCGCAGCGCGCCCTCAAAGACGTCGCGCTTCTCACGGTAGAAGCGCGACACGGTCTCCGTGTGCGCCTTGAAGCCGCTATAGCCCCATGCGTCGAGCAGCGAGTAAGTGATCGCCTGGGTCAGCGAGGACGTCTGCAGGTTCGCGACGGCGGTCTGCATGCACGCGTGAGTATGCACCTGCTTAACCAAACGTGAGACACAGTGACAGGGGGACGCACGTGCATATCGATGGCCTGCAAGAGAGGCTCTGGCCCGCTCGCGAAGCCGATGCGAATACCAGATGAGAGGATCTTGGAAAGGCTGTCGAAGCGCAGCACCCGCCCTACCTCCGGCTGCTTTAGCTCCAGCGTAAAGTATGAAGGGTACCGCGGCGCGTCGCCATAATACAGGTAGTAGTAAGGGTCGTCTGCGGGTGCAACCTATCAGTTTCGACGCCTGCCAGGCGTCATAGAAATTGACCTTCTAGGATAATGAAGTCGTATTCTCGTGCTAATGCAAGGACCTCTTGACGGCGGTCCAATGTCGCAGTCATTCCTGTTGGATTACAACCATACTACGGTGAAAGAACAAGATCAGCAACTGCTGAGAAGCGCTAAGTGAGAGTACGCACAGGCACGGTGTAGAGTACTTTTGGTCTCTGTTTTGTCGACGGCCAGTTCTGCAGAATCGAGCGCAAGGAGTTCGACTTGATCCCATGCGAATCCGTCTCCACCTCTAGAAGCTGATTCTCAGAATCCGAAATTGCACGGAAAAAGAGGATGTATTCACCGATGAGGTCACAATGCAGGGCCTGGAACATAGGGAGGACACCTCTGTCTCAATGTCAGATGCGGTCGGAAGCACACGAGTACTACAGACCTACGCATATACCGGACATTCGACGAGCACCGAGTCGCCGGGATTCACCATCGCCATCACGGCCTGCGAATGCGTTCAGATCTCGTTCAATCATATGCGGGCGTTGCGCGCACCTTGTAAATCACATCTTGTGACCCGGCGCCGATGCTCACGCGCCAGCCCTCGCCCTTCTTGCGCCCGTGCTCCCGCTCCTGGAGCTCATAGACCCATTCGCAGAACGACGGCAGCCCTGCCGTTGGGCCGTACTGCAGGCCTTCCGCGAGAGCCTTTCCATTCACCTCCGTCTCGATCTCGCGGGACGGGTCCGTCGGCGAGCGTGCGGTGAGCTTGATAGAAGTGAACGGGAAGGTGGTCGCGTTTGGCTTGCCTGCCAGGAGCGAGATCACGCCGGGGCGGGCCTCGAGCGGATAGAGGCCCCGGACTATATGATGTCAATCTGAGTCAGTACAGCGACAAAAATAAGTTATGCTGAAGCTGACTAGGACTCGGTTTTCGCTCTTTGGCAGCATCAGAAAGAAATCGGGTGTAGGATTCGGGAGCCAAGCTTTGGGTCATGATGTCAATGACTGGTATATGATCATTAACGACCATGTTACCCGAATCCAGCTGTGTAACAATTACGTGCCTTTGAATTTGTTTCCCCAAGCAAGGTAGCTGGCCGTCGAGGAAAATCTAAGCGAGTATATACTGCAAAGTCAAGGCGAGGCAAGTAGGCTGCTTGACCGAAATTCGAGTCAAGTCCTCGATCGCCGATCGCATTCATCAACTTCTGTGCAAGATCGATCGCCTTCTTTGGGTAACTCTCCAAGAACCGCTATGCACTGCTCTGCCTTTACCGAGACAATTAGAGTAATGCACTTGCTATTGGTATGTGTCCGCAGACAAAGGTCAAAACCACAACTCATGATTTGAGTCGTCGAAATTCAGGTTTGAGTTGTGTCCTACGTGTCCGGCATTGTTTACACATTGGCCGCTCACAATGAGCATGACTTTCATCAACTTGGGAGTTCAATAGAGGCTGGAGCATAGAAGAGCTTCATATGCAAGGTGAAAACAAAACATGAAATGCAACTGCGCTAACTGATTTTGACACATGTGTTCCGGAGAAAATACATCTCAGTTTCAACCCGGTAACAGCCTCTCCCTGTCTCCGCGATCCGTCAACGGACTGTCTAAAGATTGATAGCTGCTATCCGCCCTCGTCAATTTTGGTCGCACCTTCTTCCACGCGCGCTGCCCCACATTCTTCGTCATTTCCACAATGCGACCCACGACCCAATTGCGCGCACGCCAGATCGCGTGCTGGCGCACATCGATCCGGTCTGTGCGTACACGATGGTCGCCGTCGACGATGACGCTGAGCGAGAGTACCGTCACGACGATTGAGGCGAGCGCGGTGGACGACGATATCATAAACATGATGACCATTTGCAGACGCGCGGCCTGCTCTACGGAGGAGCCTCCGAGGATCGCACCAGTCATCATGCCCGGGATTGCGATAATGCCGAGCACACTTATACCGCAGTGTCAGTGCCATGGTCTGTATAGTCAGCGGAATAAAACCTACCTCATCTGGTTGATGTTGGGAGTAAGGGCGAGGCGCAGAGCCTCCTTCGCAATTGGCTTGCATGCCTCGAACCTTGACGCGCCGAATGCAAGATACATCTCCACCTTGTCTTTGTTGTCACTACAGATTGCACCCAATGAATAATACGATCCTATCGGGCCAAGTTGGGAAGCTTACTATAGCTCCTTCAGGACGTAAGATACAGAAACCACAATGCCGGAGATTGTGGCACCACATAGCATACCAACGATGGGTACTTTGGATCGTTGCGTTAGCTTGAGCGGACGATAGCACGGACCGTACATACTATATTGTGCAGGGGCCCAGAATGGTTCCACAGCCATTGCGAAGCGGACACCGATAATGGATACAGGAATAGTCGACCCAAGCATCCCAATAAGTACGGTTGGAAGCTGGACAGTTAGGACATGTCAGAGCGAGCCATAGAATACTACCACAAATCACTCACCATGTGATTAAAGCGTTTCTTCGATTTGTTGACGACTGAGAACCCACATTGAAGAAGGTTGTTTGAGGCATACAAGTTCTCATGCCTCACCTGTCTCAATTGTACCCATCATGTTCAACAAGACTGACAAATTTCACTCCTATCAGCGCTCTTTTTCCACACAGCTAATCTGGCCTCACTCACAAGCAATTCCTGCGACACCGATCGGATTATTCGTCTCAAATATTTTCTGCAATATCAACGCTACGACGCTGAGCTGTATAATACACCGCACAGCTGCGGTAACGAGGCCATTCCCGACGCCGAGCCCGAAGGAGACTGAGACTATTGCGTCGAACACGATGAAAGAAAACGCGAGGCTAACATTCCCCCATGAGAGATTCGCAGTAGGTCCGCCAGGCTCGTCCATGGTGGCGGGCAGCCAGAAAGAAATGAGGTGGCAAGAAGCCTGAGACTTCATTTAGGGTCAAATCCATGTCTGGTTGCGGCCAAGCGCGGCGGCCTGCGTCATTGAGTTATTTCTGGTTGTTTCACGGCATCTTATCATATCTGATAAACTCATCCACTAGCATGTCGCCGATTGGTCATATTGACATTTAACTTCCGGTTGCATTCCCAAGCTGTATGCGACCTGCTCTCATCCCTCGTCTGTTTTCCAGAATGTCAGGCGGCCTTACAGCACCCAAGGCGTCGCCAGAACGTGCATCAGAGCTACACGAATCACTACAAGAGATCCGGCAACGAGTACGGCAAGCCATCGCGTCGTCTGCACCCGTAGACAGGCAACCTACGCTCGTGGCGGTCTCGAAGTACAAGCCGGCGTCGGACGTCCTCGCATGCTTTGAACTCGGGCAGATTGACTTTGGAGAGAACTATGTTCAGGAGTTGGTCGATAAAGCGGAGCAGGTGAGTCGGGTGCTCAAGGATCATGAAAGATGGGGCTCATCAGTAGAGCACGCCGTAGCTGCCCACGGAAATTCGATGGCACTTCATAGGCACGCTGCAGTCCAACAAGGCCAAAATTCTTGCGTGTATGTAACTGTCAGTTCTTCAAGTGTCTTCCTTGCGCCGCAGTGGCTCACTGCTCCGACCTGCCGACAGCGATACCAAACCTCTACGCCGTCCAGACTGTAACATCAACCAAGGCCGCTACTGCGCTAAACAAGGCCCTTCCCGCCGAGCGTACCTCCCCTCTCAATGTCCTCGTTCAGGTGAACACCTCCGGTGAGGATAACAAATCCGGGCTGCCCCCTCTCCCGTCCGACGCCACGGAACCCGATCTCGTGCAGCTCGCGCGGCACATCATCGTGCAGTGTCCGCGGCTACACCTGCAGGGCCTCATGACGATCGGCTCACTCGCTGAGTCGCTCTCGTCTACGGAAAAGCCAAATGAGGACTTTGAACGGCTCGTGCGCACGCGCGACCTGCTGCAGGAGGCGCTCGTGCAGGCCGGGTTCTCGACGGACGGGGATAGGTGGGGTGAGGGAGGGAAGCTATTGTTGAGCATGGGCATGTCGAGCGACTTCGAGGCAGCGCTGAACAGTGGCAGCGATATTGTGCGGGTCGGTACCGGGATTTTTGGTACGAGGCTGCAGAAAGAAGAGATCAAGTCTGTATAGAGTGTATTCAGAATCCATCTATTCGTGCGTGTAGGGGTAATGCTGAGTATTGCTTCTATAGTCTGAGCTTGTAACATATGGGTGAATCCAAATAACCTCTTATGCTTTCGAAATTACGTTTGTGTGCTTGTTGAGGCAACGAGCTTGCCGTAGCCGACATAGCGAGACATGGTGTATCCGTACATCCGGACTCTACTACATTGCCCTTGTACGTACATAAGTAGGCCTGCCACAAATCTTGCATATGCGCGCAAATGCTCAAAAATATTCTTCGTTTGCTCGTTGGTTAGACTAGTGTTACATGGGACGTGCTCTCCTTAATTGCAATCCCCTCAATATTTCAAGCAACGTCAGGTTTGTGCTCCATTCCTCTGCTCGCTCGCCATGTCTCTGGGCCCTGTCACATGGTCAGCTACTCTGGCATGACAATGGCTTATCAAATAACTCACCGCCCTGTTCTTGATTCTCTGGTTCTTGCATCTCCTTGTGAACCATTCTCTCGCAGTGGCCCCCGTTTCGAAGTTCCTCTCTGGTGTCTCTGCCACGGCCTTAGCGATGAGCGGGCTCTCATCCGTGAGAGCGCGTAACGTGACCGAGTCTCCGGGCCTTGTGAAGAATACCAGCGACCAACGCAAAAGTTTAGCTTGCTCCTTAGGAGGTGCTCTATCGACCCATGACAATAGATCAAGATGATGCTGAAGTCATGAAGATAGTACAATAAGGGACCTACACAACACGGTGCAAATTCGACTTCAAGATTCCACCGCTGAAGACGGACATGGCGTCTCCAAGATTGCATATGGCATGCCCTGGGAGTGGCTGCCGACGCCCATGAACGTTTGGCTGACTGTAATTTGCTCGTGCTCGTTACCTTCACATATTGCCATGTCTGAGTTCCTGGAACCATCACCTGTAGCCCGCCGAGGCGATTGTGCAGGAAGGACTTCCGACGACCATCAGTCCGATGCCCGCTTTCTCCGACATGCACCGCACTCACCAAGGACCCAAAGTCTGTGTGCGCTCCGATGGCAGCCTTAGACTCGGGTGACCCGGCGGGCATCGGAGGCGACTTGATGCACCGCGCTTCGCCCGCGCTGTACTCCTCGAGCAGGTGCCGCTTGGCTAGAGCGCCCTTTGGTAGCCCGAGTCGGTCATTCAGCACACTCAGAAGCGTATTATTAATCTCGATCGACTTCCGGACGAACGGCTTGATCGTGCTGTCCATACGGGCGTTGACCGTGGAGGGGTATGTCCGGTGCGCAATTTGTGGCCAGGCGAGCGCGTCATCCTTGGCTATGTTGATGAACTCCACGGTGTCCAAGGCTCCAGTCTCGTCGGTGGCGTTCGCGCCTGCTTTCTTGTACCTGCAAGCCAGCGTCAGGGAAGCAGGCGAGATATCTCGTGCATGCAACGGACCCGCATGACAGTCCGCCGTCGCCTTGTTCGTACTTCATCTTCTCTTCCATGGGCAAGGCCATGGTTTCGGCGCCCATCTCAAACATATCTTCCACAAGCTCGTCGGCCCCATGGTTCTTTAAGCTTCCCCGAAAAAGCTCATTAGTGCCTACCGCTCGCTGCATGACGCGCCTACCACTTACTACCAGAAGCCCAGCTTCGTAGCAGCCTCCCACAGCGTGTCGATCTCTTCCTCCTTTCCAGCTCGGATCTGCTCATAATCTACCACCAAGAGGGGGTGCGTTGGTACGTCTTCCGGAAAGGGGAGAAATGTTGTAATGCCCGGCATGGCAGCGGAGGCAACGAAGACGCTGGGACCGCGGCATAGAGACCCTACTATATGTCATTATACGCGGCTCTCACAATCAGCTCCCGTCTGACGAGCGGTCGGCGAGTGAGCGGCTCTGGGATTCCTACAGTCCGTGAGTATTGTTAGGAAAGTCCCGCAACTATACAGTAGTCCCATGACAAGGTCGGAGTACGGTGTGTGAACTCAATCGGTCCTGAGAAGTCGGCGCCTTACGAGAACATGAACCGCCTTCTGTTACAGCACTCTCACCAGGGTACAAGCTTCCATACTCGAGCGTTTCTGATGAGGGCAGAGCAAAACGACGGTTGCATTCATAACATCAGTGAAGCTTCGAGGTATGTAAATCAGTGGTACATTATTTACGTGCGAACCCGAGAACGCGATCAACGGACGGCCTCTGACGTTGGCGTTATCAATCATACTACGATTCCCGCCTTGACATCGGAGTCGTCGCTCCTGTGAGCACCGTTCCATTCCTCGTCGGTCCGCATTCCCGCCTTGTTCACATCGACCATCTCGTGTGTCTCCACATTAACCATAACCTAATGTGAACCAGATCAGCCGCTCTGCATCGTAGTGCGATATCGGGAGACATCATAACACACCTGCGTCGGCCGGGCGCTCTTGGAGGACACAATTTGGTTGATGTTATTCGGGTTCGTGTCCTTAGACATCACGGCGGTATCGAGCTTCTGTGCAAATACGCATTCAGATGCACTCACCCCGCCTAATGACTCATGTGCATAGCCGGTGTCCCTGGATGTGGCGTTGATGATAGACCGCGCGTTCAGACTTGACATCACGGAGTTGCCGTAACTAACGATACAGAGTTAGCGGATACAAGGTCCAAGCAATTACCAGTATCTCACAGCTTGCAGAGCACATAGTTGAAACCTAGCAGTCCAAAGCACTGTTTATTAGCAATCGTGATTCAGAGGACATCAGTAACTTGCAGAGTACCAATATGATAACCTCTGGTCTACACGACCGATCAGTAAGGTCAACCAAGCTGCAACCACAGAGTCTCACCGTGATCAGATATGAAATGATATCTGCCAGTGCGAAGCTTGCCGTCAATAGACCGTTGGACAACGTCACTATAGGGTCAGGTTAAAATACATAAATAGCTACAACATCCAGATGATAAAGAACGCACGCTGGATGATCCTTGATACCATGGTATCCGTTCGACTGTAACCGGTACGGCTACGGTACTGCAAATTTGTCATTTTTTGCCATCTGGATCCGCTTATGGATATATGCTCACCAGGTGCCATACCAGTGTTACTGCGATAATCGTGTCACTGATTGCCGCTCCGGCCAGCCATGTCAACACAATAGGCTAAATGGCGGTGTGAGCACTAAAATTCCTGAGAGCGGATCGAGGTTTAACTTACCTCCAAACTCTGCAGCCCAGCAAACTCAGGCCGTATGGCAACACCAATAGCCGTCCCAATTCCACCCACTGGCCATAACAATTATGTCGGGTTGATGTTAAAGGTCAGATAGGTGAACGGTGTTCTAATGAAGAATCTATGACATACGTCCACCAGCGATAGATGGAACGAGCACAGCAGCGACCAGCCAGTAATTTTGCGTGAGCCTCAAGATGCGCCAGGCATAGAATCCTTGCACCATCATCGCGATGATGCCCTGAAGGGATCAAGCGCGTCGTAAACATGGTGCTAATGGCGAGAAAGGCGCGAGACTCGAACTCACCGCCAGCGCTTCCTCTAATACACAGAACATAGTGGGGGTTATTGAGAGCGAAATCAATGATCAATCGTAACAGTTACCTGTCTCAAATACTAGAAGCGACGTCGACGAATTAGCTAAACAACGCGATCGTTGAAAAAGTACATACACCAGTTGCCAATTCCAAGGGCCTCCAGGTTACCTAGACGGGAAGTCAATAACCTCATCCTTAGGAATTGTCCTATACAAAGTCAATGAATTCACCGAAATTATTGACAAGCACTCCATAGATCCACCAGATATTGAAAATGGTGTTCAGAGTGTCGGCAAAGAAGAGTATCGCAACCTAGAGTTCACCAGCATCAGTATATGCACTGACGTTCGGGGCCGGGAGACAGACATAGTACTTGATGCGCACAGGATCTCTGAAGTGGCTACGTGAGTATCATTCACTTACGACTGCACAACAGAGACGCTCACTTCTTGTAAGATGAGAAGTAAAAGAACGTCTGAGTAAGCATAGCGCCATACAGCCTAGAGCGGAGTAATGTCAGTGCAGTATTGTAGCAGATTCATTTACGACAAACATGGTGTTCATGAAAATGCCGATCAGGGCCGGTCCATCCCTAGCAATAATTGGAGTCAGCCGCCTATGTCAAGAAACTTTGCAAATAAAAAAACTGTTGATACGTACGCAAAATTCGCCAACTCGCCTCCACTCTCCATCTTACCGCGGTCTTACACCAGTACCGCTTAATGGCCTATGTCTCGCGCTGGTGTCTGGAGCCTACGTCTGTGCTAGAGGGACTGAGTGAAGGCCGCTGTACCCGGAACTGGGCACACAAACCTTGGAATATATAGAACGTCATGGAGGGATACAATGTCCGCTAACTGGACCCGTCATGTCGCTGAGAGCATGATACCGTTATGCGATGTCGGCGATCAATCACCAGCACATTGGATGGTCGCTTCCTCCCCATGCTTCTCGGCTCCTCAGATACGGAGGCAAGCGCGTGCGGCGCGCTCCGCATCTTCCAAAATAATGTTTAACGCCCGTCTATTATCAAATACAGGCTTACGGGATGTGAGATCCCTCGTTAGCGCAGGCACTCGGTCGCCTTGTCAAAACGAATCAGTGGCGCTGTACCTTTGCTTCCGGCATACCTCCTTTTCAAATCCTGTCAGCCAATCTGGTGGACGCTCACCTTGAGTCCGATTGTGCCGGACAGGCGTTAGCGATGAGAATCGCAGCAATTTTCAAGCTCCGTACCGCATCACACTGCTGGTGAACCTGAAGGTGAGCGTGTCAAGGTGGCTGTAGAAGTGCGACGTCGCACAACGCTCACGCGAAAGGACCCGACAATGCCGGCATCTACACTGACATGATAGGCGAGATTCATACGGACATCTTGAGGGATTTCGAGTGGAAAACCTCATCGCTGAGCCCTGTTTAGGGATAGTGAGATGTCGCAGAGGGAAAACCCGCGCCTTTCGCAGCATGTGGATAGATGGTTGTATTCCTGTTCAGGTGTTGATATGTTATTCGCAGTTGAAGACTGGATGTCATCATGGCGACCCCCTGCTAACACACTCAAAGTTGAGCGAGATTCCCGCCTGGCAACATGCGGGCTTTACACAACCGCCACCCTGCGAATTCGGGATGTGATCTCGGAGATGGCCAGGTCCCTGTGATCTTCTCAGGCTTCTGAAACACTGTGTACGAAGGGTGGACGCACAAGATCTAGAATGTCCCACTAAGGCTGGCTGGTCGTTGAGACGACGGATATTGACACTTGGACAGCTAAAGCTACTAAAGCGGTGAGACAACACAACTAGCTACTGACGCATTCGCGTAGCGCAGTCGAAGAGGCTTCGCGTTGAATTTCAAAGAAATAAAGGAAACCACGGTACAAGGCCAGACTCTGGGAGAAGCTACGGCGAATGTGCATCAGAAATCAAGGCCGTAACGCAGACCCTCGAGAATCAGTTCGAGGTATCCGCATCAGGGGTCGGGTTTTAAGTTGGGACGCCGCAATGACAGCATTCTGGTCACGGGTGAAAAGAGAAACGCGTACCATCAGAGCACCAGGCTTCGAGACAACCAGTTGGCGAGCTTGAACCTCGTCTAGTGACTACGATCACAACGTAGAAGGTTGAGTGAAAGGCAGCGACCCCGAGTATGGGGTAAATTCCTGAGTATTTTGGTAACTGACTAGAGAGTTATGTCCCATCGACTGTCATTGAATCTGAAATGGGGCCTCCAAATCGGGTGAGAAAATGCCGACAATTCGCGTTTGGACGAATCAGGCGTTGATTCACATCATGTGGAAGCGACGTCGCGACAGTATCGAGCGCATAAGGGTTACCGTGTCGCAGTTGCATGCTACTGTTTTGCTCCTAGTGTTACGCCCATGGGAGTGTAACTGCTAGTACCGATCCCCGTGTCGGCAAGCATGACCTTTTGCCGCCAATCAGCAAGATGCCCGGAATCTCTCGGGATGTTTTGGATATTCGCAGTCCGATCAATGATGTTGGCCCTGGGCCAATCAGGGCGCCGACTTGGTCTGCCTGGTAGAGCTCAGTGTAAGGATTTATGCAACTAGACTGCCACTGAGGGATGTCAGCGATGACCGAGCTATATGGAAGCATATCACACAATCACCCAGCTGTAGAATGGAACAAACAGATCAATCCGAGAACCAACCCCTGGCGAGTATCATAAGAACTTGCTCACTCACACCGGGTTCACTCTGGTTTTAGTTCGTACGTAAGTTATACCCGTTGTAAGCGTCAAGAATCAAGAATAGAATGCCCGCAAAGATCTGCCCAACTGCGGGGCATAATACCCGTGTGAGAACAGGTTCATTCGGGAGCTGGGAGATTTTGAGCAAGATTATACGCTCGCTCGAAGTTGCACTTCCAGTAGAATGTTTGACGCATCATATCTGGCGAGACTCGAGCGGAGGGAACTCGGACAGTCTCGAAAAGCGTATTGAAGACTTGACAAGTTGAGCATGCATGAACGATGAAACTTCGCCGACGATCGTCAGCTCACGTGCCTCAACCGCTGTCTTCAAGGAAGTCGCGCAGTCTGCGATACTCCATCTCAGAGCAAGATGTCTCTCGTTGTCAATCGTCTTTGCGCTGCTCGCCAGTGTGTCTCATTGGCGGTTAAACCTCTGTCAAACAATACTGGAGCAACAAGTCTACTGTCTCGAGGATGGCAGACGCGCTTGGCTAGTTCTAAGCCAGCATATGAAGGTCATGTCCCGCTGAACTGGTTCGAGGCGGGCTTTCTGGCCGTCGGCTCCGCGTTTATGTCTCTTGCCAATCCGCGGAGGGGAGGTGAGCTCTCATACCTCGTGTATGAGCCTTGATCAAACTGCTGTTTACAGACATGGTTGCGGCTCTCGGGGACGTTACATCTGGGCCCGTGCTTCCTCGACTCAGGGACGCCATGCTCGAGAGCGCCGAAGGCCGACGAATACTCAAGGACAGGCCAAGGGTGAACTCCAAGACTGTGGATATGAACAAGCTCGCCCTGTTGCCTGACGGCACCTTTGGACATGCATATATCACTTGGCTCGACCGCTGCGGAGTTACCCCAGACACTCGCGAACCCGTGCGTCTGCCGTCTCGTCCTGTTCTCATCCCTGGTCACGGATTACGTGCAGGTCCACTACGTGGATGACCCTGAATTGGCCTACGTCTTGCAGCGCTACAGAGAGTGTCATGACTTCTACCACTGCATCTGCTCTCTCCCCGTCAATGTGGAGTCCGAGCTCGCCTTGAAATTCTTCGAGTTTGCCAACCTCGGCTTGCCTATGGCTGGATTCGCAGCTGCCTTCGGTCACCTACGATTGACATCAGAAAAGCGCGCCAGACTCTTTAGAGAGTTTGTGCCTTGGGCAGTGAAGTGTGGTGGCAGTGCTAAGAGTCTGATTACCGTTTATTGGGAGGAACGATGGGACCAGAATGTGGATGAAATGAAGAAGGAACTTGGCCTGTGGGATCCTCCGGAGGCCAGGTGGAGTAAGCCATTGAGCGAGGCCAAAGCGGCAGCAGAGAAGAGGCGGAAGCTCAGCTTGCAAAGCAATCATGACGCATAGAGCAGATCCGCTTGAGTGTAATATGACCATTTGGATTGCGGGTGAGTGCATCCACCACCTCCTCGTACAATTCAGCCAAACATATCCTCGTGGTAGTGAGGTCACCAGCCGCACTCATTATGCGATTAAGTACCCTCTAACGCCTTGCAATGTATGGCATGTACTCTGGTTTCGTCTCAATTGCGCGACGCAGTGGCAGGTGCAATTATCACACTGTCTGGACGCCAGACTTCTTGGCACTGTACTCCACTGGTTTTGAATTGATATTCTCAGCTTGAGGTGAGCAGTCATACACGTGGATCGTTATTTTCATGTGCTTGCACATATCTGAAATACGAGGGAGCTATGATCGCGCTGACCGGCGTTCCGCCACTGGTGGATCCGCGCGTGGTCGGGCGTCTCGTGTCAGTGGCTGGACATTGACACGTGTTTGACCGGTGGCTGATCTGAGTCCTGTTGTGTCTCCCTCAGTGCTGCCGCTCATGGATCACTGCTCTCTCAGTGTGCTCCCTCTCCAGTGAGCTCCCAATACACCGCTGCCATGAATAGGACGTTACCACGCTGCAGCACCCGAGGCAAGAGCGGTGCTTGCCCGTGACGTTGATTTCCTGGCGACTGACACTTCTGTGCAATCTATCAAATCGGAGACACTCGGTGCAGTGTCTGGAAGCCACTGAAACTGTGTTCATCTTGCTGGGGATTTCCCCATCATGTCACTGAATAGCTCAGAGTACTATATACGGCGGAGTGGCGTGTACCGGATCGTGGTCGCGTCGCCTGCCCACAGTGGGCTCGCGGAGAGTGGCAGGGCGACTCTGAAGAAATAAGAGCTATCGGCGACGTTGCTCTGCCTGTACCTCCTTCCCTACGCTGTCGACATGTACTCCCAGCCACTAGCGGTCCGTGCCGCGACTCACGACTTGATTCAGCTTTCAATCATTGACAATGCGGGCCAATATGCAGCTCAGCGGAGGCGTGCTAGTGAGAGGCGTCCACGCCGGCCCAATCGCTACGACGTCGTTTATAGGCGGCCCTATGATCAAGGCGTCACGCTTATTGACGACGATGCCGAGAGCTGCTGGGAGTACAGGCCGCCGCGCCGCGCGATCGCTCGGTTGCGCACCACCAACAGGAGCACCGACGGTACCACTCCAGCTCAGGCATATGCCGCCAATTACCGCCAACGAAGCGACAGGAGAGACGCGTATTCGTCGGACGTAAGCGCTATGGCTCGCCCTAGTACTTCATCCAACGATGCCCCCTCGACGAGCATGGCCGCCGATGTCAGAGAAGCCAGACCGCGACATAGACAATCTCGTGCAGAGGCTCATGGCTACTATGTGAGACATCTTGGATATGCTGCCCGACGTCGTCGTTTACATCTGTAATCATAGCTTGGCGAAGCATATCGCATGTATCGGGTTGGTTTGTACGAGGGACGTGTCCATCTCCGTTGCCGTCGTCCAGGCTGCAACGCAATCCTGCCGAGCATAATTGACTTGGCGCGTCATTTGTACATGCATGACATATCGGTTGCAGAGTGGTATGTCTAAGTGGCGTCTGCTGTCGGTGCTTGCTCATGGCGTTGCAGGCCTACTTACAGCAACGATGCTAGGCGGCGTACGCGATGGGGGTTACGGTTACGAACTGGCGACAGAGATCGCTCCAAGTTGAGGGCGTCAAGAGCGCGCAAAGGCAAGCCCACCATATCCAAATTCGCCACCAGGAGGTTGACTCCCTCTTCTTACCGCAGTGAGATTGTGTCGCTTCCTTTCCAGCTTGAGCTGCATAAGCTGCTGTTGTGACACGTCATATTTCGATTCATGAGTCCTGCTCCGAGGTCATCATATTACTTTCCTCACATTGCTACACACTGTATTCATAGCGATGCTTGATGCTGGCATCTTTCACATATTTATTACTATGCCGTTGGGGGTATCCGTGTCATGCCCGTTCTCACAATCATTCGCGACTTCGAATATGTATCCACTAATGTACAACAATATGGTCACGTAGCACACGAAATATACCTACCTATGTATATGCAAGCGCGTTCGGACATCTGACCTTTCTTACTTCCTCAACGCTTGCTCCCTGCAAGTGGTGCTGCAGAAGTAGTCGGTGGCACTCTGCGGATACTTTCCACACATAATGCAGCCCGGAACGGCCCCACTGGTGACGGCTTCCCTATCAAATTAAACGCGTTCTCGTTTAGCACCCTCAGGGACATAAGCGGAACCGCTAAAACGTACTCTCGGTGGTTCATTGTGCAATATCCGCTCACGGATCCGTCACTGTTGACATGAGCCGGCCGACTACAACTCGGCAGGGAGCATGTCGAGGGAGGCAGGGGATGCACCGGGACTGCAACACCACGGTGAGTGGGCTGTTGGCCGGCGACGGGTGGTACATTGAACGACGGCGCCGGCGCCACGACCGGAAGTGAAGCAGCCGGAGGAGTAGCCCGAACTGTGCGGTTGGAGACAGCTGTGATGCCAGTCGATGCTGCAGATGCACCTTTGATAATGTAGGGTACCTGTGCCCCGGAGCGCTGAGTGGCCGACTGCAACTGCGTGGTCTGTGGCGCCTTTGTTTCCCCAAGCAGTTGCGCAGCATCTGTAATGCTTTGATGTGAACTATTGTCGATGAAAATTCACTCAGGATACTTACGTCCATGGGGAACATGTCTCATTTGGATGTGGTGCACGGGTTTCGACGCGGTCTGGCTGGGCACGCCGGTAGGTGTAACATTGTTGGCGGTGGTCATCATAGGCTGGCTATCAGTCGATGCCTGTGTGGCGGTATTCGCTGTCGCAGCGCATGTCTTGCTACAGTATTCGTGGCCGGTATTCTTCGGCCTTGAATGGCATCGCTATGATCAGATGGCGTAAGCAGTCATTGGCAGGAATGCTGTAGCGAATGTTTACCATGCAAAGCGTGCTGGGTGTAACGGAAGTAGACATGATGGTGGTCCGAATCTGAGTTGCTGTCATTCCGATGTGAGCTGCTTTTATATTGCATGCTTAGCCACAAACCGGACGACGCAATCAACGCGCACGCTGATTAGCGCCCCAGGCCACAGCACGAACAATGGGGCTTCACGCACGCGTTGAGTATATAAGGGTATTCATACAAGCAACACCACAACAATGGGTCAGACATGAGGCACGAGCATGAAAACAAGGGCTGTATAAGGTAATAAGGATTAGTGCTGCGTCCCGCGCAGCCGTGCGCGCAATCTCTCTAGAGCCTTGCCGAGTTCGTTGCGCCCCTTGCCGTCCGCCCCTACACCCCAGAACGCGTCTTTGTAAGAGTCCTGCTCGATAATCAGATGCCGAGATTAGGAGATCGGCGGAAGAATACGAACCTCGACGAGTTCAGCGTCGCCGGTTGCAAGCAGCTCCTCCATGAGGTCGCGGTGCTGCGTAAATTTGTGCCACAAGGTCTCGTCCATCTAGACGACTGTCAGTCGGCGACGCCAGGGGGGTGGAAGCAAGTGAGCTGTGGCACCTTCGCAATGTTGACGGAAAGCCAGTCCCTGCGGACTTCTGAATGAAAGCGACGAGCCTCCGAGAATGCGACGCTGGGCCGGTCAGAGCACGTCCTTATGTGCTCAGCAAGAAGCGGCCTGTGCTTCTGGAACTACGACGTGAATGTCAGCTTAGCAACATGCGTACTCAAAGTCGGATGTGTACCTTGAATGACTGGAAGAGATGCTCGCTCGTTGGATACGACTTGTTGTTGTAGAGAACAGAGTGCGTGGAGAAGTTCGTGAACCCATAGTGAGGCTGGTCCTTGTTGTAGAACAGAATGCGAGCCGGTGCTCGGGGCGTATGGGGAGAGCGTTGCGGACTGGTTGGTGTAATCGGTGAGGTGCTCGTAAATTGTGGCTTCGGTTTCGTTTTCTTCAGCAGAGAAGGCCGTGTATTCTTGCGTTGGTCAGGAGCAGGCTCTGAGCACGTCGGGGACGGCTGAGGAGCTAGATCTTCCCATCCTCCTTGCCGACGGTCAGCCTCCTGCAGTGAAATAGTCCGGTGATGCATAGGCGGTACAGTGGGGTAGCCTTGGCCAGGAACATCGGGTACACTTAGAAACTGTTCCATGACCTGCGGATCCAATTGGTCTGGAGGAACGTTGGAAGCCATGTATACCGTACGGCGCTGTTCGACGACTTTGTACTGCACGGGAGTACCGGAAGACTGATCTGTATAGGAGATTGGAGGGAATCTGCGAGTTTCAGCGGAGATGATTGTCGGTGTAGGCATGTCAATCAGCGTCAAGAGGGAGAAGTAGAAGACAGCGCTTTCTCTTATGGTAACATGTGGAGCCACCGTTCAGCACACGATAGATATAATGAGATCTACGCCATTGTTCCCTTTGTTGTTTAAGGTTCGAGGGGCAAGGACCGGGACAGACCGCCTGGCTACTTCGTGGCCTGCGCGTGGTATGAGGCAATGCTGGCGCTGCACAGCTCAATGACCGAACGCATACCGCAAGTCTGCTTTCGTTTGATGTTTCGGCGTCCGTCCGAGGCCCTCCCAACATGCGGTACAAGCGACCTAGTAATGATCCGAGCCGAGTTGCAGCTCGGCGCTTATCGCTTTTCAGCAGATCCGGCTTTGGGCAGCACTTGGACCTACACCCTGAATCTTCTCGCATCTCTGACATAGCGGACACAGCCTCACGAAGAGTCCTTATACCGGCGCTAGCTGTAATCTCAATAATACCTCATGACATCTCATCTTTGGCGGTATTACACAAAACCGGGCGATGCAGTGTTTGCCACCGCGTAGCATTGTTCGATGCCTCATGTTGTTACAAAGGTCGGTAGCACATCTGTGGCTCAAAACGACTAGGTCTTCCAATATAAAGCCTGCACGGTCCGATACGTAAACACATCACATCCACATCACTACTCATTGTTTGATACGTTTCTACAAGCTGGAGTCATGGTCACGGCTTTGGACTTTTTCGCCATCGAGAATCCGCGCAATGAGACAGATAATCGTCAAGGTCGCCTAATCCCCCTTGAGCCTTCTGATCTCTATTATATGTGCAGTACGTACCTATGTTGTGCATCCTGCACGCGTTGGAGTAGTACTGACCGTGAGTGCAGTAAAGGACCAGTTCGACCGCCATTGGGAACATGTCGGGCGCATGCGCCCACGCGTGCGAGCCATATACAAGGTGCTCTATCTGCAATCAGAGCTCCAGCCTTTTCTTGATTATAAGTGAGGGAGCGCATCTACGTGTATTACTCCAGCATTGATGAACCCCTTAGAGCGGATGTTGCGGCCGTCAGGAATGGTCTGGTGGTGCGTTCATTGTTCCATGGTACGACGCGGGCCTGCCGTTTAGGCGAGGGGTCGCACAATCTGGTCTTCTGCGAATTGTCCGACTGTTCGCTGTGCTCCATCATACGAAACTCATTCGATGTGGCGATGTGCGGTGAGAAATTCTGTCTCCAGCTTGTCGTCATGCTAATGGTATCCGACTAGGTCGCAAGAACAGATTCAGCAGGTGAGCTGGGGTTGCTGGCTTCCACGGCTAATGAGACTAAACAGACCCCATCAAATAGATTTGGTGTCGGCATTTACACCACTCCTTGCTCTTCCAGTAGGCCAAGATATTTCTACAATTTCTCCTGGCCATTGAATACATTCTAGAAGCAGATGACTACGTCAAGAATCTGTCTCCAGACGCCAAATGGCGTGTCTCACTATTGAGTCGCGTCGTCGTCGGTAAACCAAAGAAGTTCCGCCACAATCGGACCACTCTCACAGAACCTCCGCACGGCTTTGATTCTGTGTGGGGCGTACCTGGCGCAGATTTGAATTATGAGGAGACAGTTGTCTACGACAATAACGCAATTCGGCCAGCCTATCTGGTGGTGTATGGAGATGCCGACCTCGAACTCGACTTCGGACCTAAAGTCCCTGCAACGTCAATCGAGATTATACGGCGAATTTTCGCATCGGCTTTCGTGTGACAGATGTAGTTTTTTCTGGTCGACGATATTTATCATTAACGACCATTCACCGACACGGCAATATATTCCCTTAATTTATAACATCACTTAAGGACCGTGTTTCCCTGAACCCCCCCCCCCCTCTCTACTTCGTGTATAGAATAACATATCTAGGCATGATGGCATCCGAGGTTTTGACGACGACTTTCGCCCCATCATTGACCTATAGCAGCATGCTTGGTTAACATTGTAGCTATGTATATGGTGTTGGGTACTGACCGGCATGACATTTCTAGTGGCAGATGTTAACACGGCTTGAGGGGCCGCCGATATGACGACTTTGCAAGCCAGCATCACCCGGAACGGCGATGATGTCGAAGATGTGGCCCATTGATCAGCCTGTGCTGGGTTCGGGTATGAATATATGCCTTCGCCATAACTTGACAGAGATGACTGATTGTGAACACAATCGCAGACATGGTCTTGGTGTGACCCACCTTCCCGAGTTATGCGTGGCGCCGAACGCGAAACTCCCAAAGGCCGATTTGATGATACTGCAGATCCCGCAAGATTGCCATTCGCAAAGGGAGAGATCGTTCACTGCGAAGTCGCATATGCACTGAGTGCTGTGGTACGTGTTTAGCTCGTAAACCTTCATCGCGGTCTCCAAATTCTGCCTGTTTCGCAACGCGGACGATTAGCGACAGCTATAACAACAGCGAAATGCCTCACTGGTACTGCGCATATGCCGCACGGACGTCACGCGAAAACACAATCTCAATCACCTTCACAACGGTGGGCTCCTCGTTTCCATCCCACGCTCTGTAAAATTCGGAGACGACTGCAGGAATTTAGTTTCTGCTGCGTCCAGCGATTGACTTGGACGTACTGCTCTGCGAAGTGGCGCCTTTCGGATTCAGCTCTCTCAGTTTCGTACCCGCCCGCGGGCTCCTGATGCATTGCACGCATTGGTTGTTTGACACCCCGGGCAGCTGACGACATCGCGCACAACCCTTCACTTGGCGCGTTTGCACAGCCTCCCTGGTCCGGTAAGTACGAAGACAGCTATCTAATACGAAACAAACTCACCGGGCGTGCGCATCCGAGCAGAATCCTCCGTGTGTGGTATCTCCTGGCGTCCGGCACCCTGCAAGAACGCAGGGAGGGCCTTTGACGATAGGGCTATTTCTTGCGCATGTTCGACCGCAGTATGGGTGCTGGTAGCCATTCTCAATATATTTCGGCCTGATCTGACAAGTCTAAATCCCAGAATACGAGGTTGAGTATATTTAGGCGCTAGTACGACGCCGGGCATTGTGCATACCTCGCACAAATTGCTGGGAGCTGCGGCCAGCGACGAGCTCCCCGGATGCATAGCGAATTTGAGCGGCGTGTACATGGTTGTCTTGGACAGAAAGGGACTTGGCCACCACTCCTCATGTACTGGGCCGAACAATGAGCCACGCTTACGTCGCCTTGTGATGGGCCACGGAAAGAACAAAGCACAGCTTATGGCACGTTGCCGGTGTGTGGCTGATCCTAGATCTATAAACGCGCGCGCGGGGCGATCAACATGCGTCTAACTGTATTCTCATCACCCCGAGCTCCTGGCGAGCCAAGAACTTCCGCACCCTCTCCCGTAGACCCAACTCTGTGGAGAAATGTCTGCTAGGACTTCCTACTCACTTCCCGACGGAAACGTCTCGCAAACGCCGCGGCGTAAGCCATCGTCCAAGCCTCGTAAGTCGATCTCTGGAAAGTGTGGCTGGGTGACTGATTTAATACTATCACGATCATTAGCAGCAGGTAGAACCCCTGCAAAACGTAAGACTGCAGATCTTTGCGAGGTGCGTCTCAGCGATGCTTCGAACAGCGTGCCTGCTCTGACGCCTTCACCTTCCAGAACTGTCGTGTCAAGCCAAAATGCGTCAATCCAGCTACTGGGCTCCTGCATCCCTACTGTGGCCAGCGGTGCGCAGCAGCTGCAACTTCGACATCTTCCTCAGTCGGAATGTGCCCCGTAAGATTCTTTCCGTTCTAGATGTGGCTGCATTGATCCCTTATAATTATCCAACGTATCATTAGGTTTGCAAAATCAAGCCTCGGTACTCGGATGGCACGCGCACGTATACGTGCTGTGGGATGACATGTGCCAACAAGATGAAGGCCACTGTTCCTAAGCAGAATCTGGTGCCCAGAAATCACGACGGTATGGCTTGCTAATGAAACACACAATCCCAGAACTCACGTCTATAAAATCAATAGGTTCGTGCCAAGCACCGAATTGCACCCAGCCCGTCTTGCAAACTCTTAATGGGCCAGCCAAATACTGTTCGCAGCCTCACAAGGTGTACGTATGATGTTATCTCTTGGAAGTGCGCACTTCTCATTGTGGCGTTGTAGTCTGGCAGAAACCGCGTGCCTCTGGTGCCGCCTGTCACCCAAGAAGGGCGATCGTCATTTCTGTAGCACTGCCTGTGCAACCGAAGCTCAGAACAATGCGGCGATCTTGCTAGAGATCCCAGCTGGTCACGTCACTTACAAAGACAGTACGTTATTCCCGATTAATTTTTATTTGGCTCAGAGAGAATCTGACCGTAGCCCCAGTTGTCCATCAGTTCCAGCGCTCCTGGAGACATGATACGTACTGTCCCTCGGTGAAGTATATATACAAGATCGTCTCTTCGAAAGAGCTGTCAGACAAGTATGATGCCTACAAGTAAGTATCGACGCCAACCATAGATGATGATGATGATGTTGATCAGAGTTTACCAGGGCTAAGGTCGAGAGTCGTGGGCATTTCGCTGTGCAAACTGGTCTCACGGCTGGTAACGAAAACAGGCGATGGCACGGCACCCTGCGCAAATGTAACATTGGAGACAAGGGCGAGACTCAGCTCTGTTCTTCCGACTCTTGTTCCCTTTGCTGCATTATCAGGAAATCCTATCAAATCATCTTGTCGGGCAAGAATACGGGTTGGGGGAGGTAAGTGGTCTCATAGATGTGGCGTTCGCTGTGCCACATGTTAAGATTCGTAACAGATTTGGAGATGGTGTCTACACGTCTTCAACGTCATCGAAGTGCGTGTTAGCATATTGCTTATAATGCACATAGCTGACAGCTACGGTGGCAGGTCCAATGACTACTCCAAAAACGAGGATTCCACTTCTCCGCTGAAAGGGATGCTACTCAATAAGGTGGTCGTCGGCCTAGGTTACAAGCTGACAGAGAATGACTCGTCGCTTACCAAGCCGCGTGATGGATATGACTCCGTGCGTACACATTATTTTCTCATGTTGTGGGGATGCAGTCTTTTATGACGGATATTTAGGTCATCGGCGAGGTAGGCGGCAAGCTCAACTACGACGAGCTAGTGGTTTACAACAATGACGCCATCCGCCCGTCGTACCTAGTCATGTACGAGGCAGCTTGAGGTGAAGTAGTGTTTGTGCTATTTAAAGGCGGTAGGCAGGTCCTATCGCATAACTTGGATATCGTGACCTATAAATTATGATGTATGGAAGTGTACTGTTGTAATGCAGCCGGATGTTCTCAGTACGGAAGCGGGCCGTTCCTTGGTTCGTGAACCACCCTCCACATAACATATGCTAAGACGAACATTGCCAAGGTGAAAGTCACCCTACATCGCGGAAAGTAAATTCGACGCAGATACCAGAGAGCGGATAGGAGATGCTCACATCTCGATGACAGCGAACGCTATGAGCAGGATACCATCAGCCTTGCGATCGGAAGCAGTCCAGTAAGAGCGTGAACTTACCAAACAGCGCTTGTATCTGGCTACAATGCACAATACCCAGACAGATACCCGTGGTAGCAAGGGGTAATGCACCGTTCAAGATAGCAGTACATGCGACCCAAAAGCACCAAGTGATTAGCGCCCAGACGGCCTGGGATCCAACTGATACTGCAGGGTGCTGCCAAAGGGTTGGGTGCATGAAAAGCCCCAAATAAATCGTGGCGAACACAAGCGTCCAGCACGCGGAAAATCTTCATCAAATCAGTGAGCGAGATTGATGGCAGCTGAAAACATCAACTCACAAAGAAAGTATCATACCATTCCATGCTTCTACGCTGGGATATGCACCGGTTGCCCGGTATACGCCTAGGATCCATGCACTGATGGCGACCTGCAATGCTGCTGAGCCACTCTTGTCACTAGGAGACATTATTGACTGTATACCTCTATGATGCTCGTGAAGATCAGGAAAATCCAAACCACTACGTCCTACTGTAAGCCAACGCTTGTGCTGTCAAGCGTGCGTGCCCACTTACTAGGTGCGTATTTCTGAAGGCGTACACTGGAGGCCTTGTTTAGGGCCCTCGGATACCGACCAGAGTAGCGGTACAGATAGTACAATCCGACAATGTACACCAGGGAGAGAAGAATTGTTAACACGGCTACAACAGCGGATGCGGTCTGGTTTGCAGACATCGTTACGGCTAGCTGAAGGCGAAGTCGACTCTACAGTGTACGCAGTGTACGCTGAGAAATACGCACCTTTCTAAAGCGCACAAGTTTCCGAAGTCAATTATGCTTGTAGGGAGGACAGAAGCGGCGAGACACACACCCGCTCCCCATCCCCATCTTGTATGCCAGGCCGACAAAGGATGGGCCTTCGACGCCCTACACAACGCCGAGCTCAGCGGCCAACATGCGTCTTCAATGCGCTTAGGATACAAAGACCTCACGCCGCGGCCAGAACGATCCATCAGTGGCATAGAATATTCTGCCGAGGCTGTGAACACCGAGCACAATGCCAGCCAACCCAACACGCCATGTCCAGGCTCGAAAAAGCCATGCGGCAGCGTCGCGCAACGTACGCGCCTCGCGCATCATGCTCAGGAACAGCCACAAGTCATGGTATGAGCGCGTTCCGGTTGTCGCAAGCCAATGCATTGTAAACTGACACCTGCTCACCTTGATTGGGCGGTGACATCCACAGTTATACAAAGTGTTGCATATGCAGTAATTTTCTGGCATGCACATAATAAGACATGAGGACTGACGAAATATGTAATCATATGGGCCAAACTACATAGGATCCAAAGCCAGCATTCTCTCCCTCATCTTGTCCCGTGATTCGTAATGTGTGCGCTTACGGGGCAAAGAACGTGCTCAAGAAAGCCTCGCCAGCAGCCTTAGGTGCCTTCGGCTTCTTCTTCTCCTTCTGCGCCTTCACGCGCTCCTGCTTGACTGCAAAACATGGCTAGTTAGAGCAAAAACGGCTGACACAAAGGCGTGTACTTACGGAGTTCCTGCCTGCGGAGTGTCTTCGCGTAGGGGTTCAAGCGGAACAGAATGCCCTTGTTCACCAAGGGGTTCTTGCGCTGCGTCCAAGGGCGCTTTTGGATCTTGGCGTTCGCCTCGCGGACGACAGACTGGATCTCAGTGCTGTTGATGAGGCGGGTAACGTCAGGGTTGCTGATCTTGGCCGTCGGCAGACTGCGAGACAGGTGGTTAGGCGATTACATATGGCATATTGGTATGAACATACGTGAAGCCCTTCTTGAGAAGGGATGCCTTGTCGAAGGTGCCAAATACCTCGTCGAGGAGGCCGAACGCACCCTCGGTCCAGATGACAAAACGGCCAAGGTGACCACCAGGGGCGAGCTGGAGGAGGTTGAGCCTCCTGACGTTGACAAGCTCAACACCAGGCAGGTTCCTGAACGCCTTGACGATACCCTTGTCCTCGTTGTAGACGACGAGGGGACCACGGCGCTGGCGGTGACGGCGGTTGCGCAGCTTACCCTTGCCGGCACGGAGCTTGCGGGAGTTCGAAACCTTGACGACATCGGTGTATGCCTTGAGAGACTTGAGGAGCGCGACTGCCTGCTTTGTCTTTGCGAACGACTCAACCTCAGATGAGATAACGAGAGGGACCTCCTCGATTTCCTCGATGCGGTGACCGCGGGCGAGGACCAGCGACGGGAGCGCGGACGCGGCAAGTGCAGAGACAACGGCGAAGCGGCGCTGGCCCTGGTTCACCTTGACGTGCCACTTGCGCCAGGTCTTAGTGGGGGCGAACATGCGACCACCACGGCACATGTTACCGAAGGCAGCCTATAAAGCTTGAGTATCTACAATCTTGCAACGGTTTCAAACAGATGCTCACCTGGCCGGAGCGGTGAGTTCCTCCACCACCAACACGGGGGATACGCGCAACCGCGCGACCGGTACCCCAGGACTCAGCGCTGGTCTGGTGGCCAGCCTTCTCGCTCACGGCGTACGCCTGCCTCTTGTTCTTGGCAATGCTCTCTGCATTGTGCGTGAGTGTGGGTTGACATTGTAGATTAAAATCACTCACTGTGCACTTGCTGCACAACATCGAGCCTAATGGGGGCGGTAAGGACCGCAGGCAGCGGGAGAGAGCTAGAGGCCTCTGTACGCGTGCAAACGCTGCTAATCAGACTTTCCCCCTCACTACGTAGTACCTGCCAGACTAACCTCCAGACGTAGAGCGTACGTTGACGGTGGGACGAGAGGCCATTGTTGCTGGAAGTCTTGAAGTCTTGACGGCGCCGAGCCTGGTCGATGTTGTGTTGATAGCGAAAATTAAAGTTTGCCAGTTCCTCAGATGATGCAAACAACTGCAAGCAGATGGTGGCTGGGGCGCTTGTTTACATGAGCGCTTATCAGCGTGCTATCGACAGGCGCTCAGCGAATACGGTACTGCCCAAAGTCTCTTGGGCCTGACCGCGAGCCGCTCACGAAAGATTGTCTTTCTTACATTGAATTCCCGATATGATGCCTGAATTCGACATCGTTTTACTAGATTGCACACGTCTCCTTTGCGGTCGAGGTCTACCCGAGCTTGTAGTCTCAACTCATGCGTAGGTCAGTTGACTTTAGCGAACCCGTCGGGTCGGATGAGTTTGCAATGCCAAACCATGGGGCGTGTTTCTATCTGTATGACTCGAATTCGCGTAAAGTGTTTCCGATATGCCATGGGATTAAAAGGCAACACTGGCTCGTACATATTCATCTGCCCTGGCCTCTCGCATCCACGACACACTCCGACGGAGCTCCTATCTCCTCGACGACTCTCTTGGGATAGCAATGGCCCGCTCGGAAACTCTGAACATCCTTCCTGCTGCGTTCTACGAAGCGCGGCTGTCAGAGGCAGCCAAACGTATACCAGAGGATGGAAGTGAGTGTATATCATAGATCTGGGTGTGAAGTGACGTGATGATCCTCGTGTGCTGCAGTCAGGGCCATGTTCCCGCTCGAGAATCGTCCCGGCTTGATTTCTCTGCTTGCGGGAAAACCTAATGCAGAGACGTTCCCAATCACATCGCTCCAGTTCACTATGCGTGACCCTGCTGCTGGCGAGGACGTGAAGATGGAGCTGACGCCCGATGAGCTGCAACATGGCCTGCAGTACACGCCCACAAATGGCCTACCTGAGCTTCGCGAGTGGGTGTTTGGTCTTCAGGAATTCCAGCACAACCGGTATAAGGGCGAAGGCTGGACGGTCAGCGTCGGGGCCGGGTCGCAGGATCTCATCTTCAAGGTGGAGTATATGCAGTCCGCAATTCTTCGCGCTATCTTGTTTATGTGTGGATTAGGCTGCAAGTGCCTTGTTAAATCCAGGAGATGCTGTGCTCGTGGAAGCACCTGCATACGCGTGCGTGTCCAAATGCAATCATCAACTTCTGCCTTAACCCCTTATTAAGAGGAACAATCGCAATACTAGGATTAGTTGGATGTGAACACATTGGTAAGATCATCCACTGTGCCCTTAACTGATCTGCTTGCTTGATCAACTCATTGCGCGAAGAGGTAGAGACGGATACCCACGGTATCCAGTCAAGTTCTCTCCGCTCGATCCTTGAGAATTGGCCGAAGTCTAAATCGAAACCCAAAGTGCTGTATACTGTCCCAGTATGTCCCAGCTGATTTCTGCGAGTTGCATGTATCAGTCTGATGAGCAGTAGTATGGCTGCAATCCGGCAGGAACGACTGCAACATTAGACCGCCGTCTCGAAGTGCTCAAATTGAGCAGAGAGCATGATTTCCTCATCTTCGAAGGTATACATCTTACTCATGCGCGCCGTGGGCGCAACCTGACTTTGCAAGTTATCAGACGACCCCTATTATAACTTGTATTTCGGCCCTCCCAACCGTCCCCCCTCGTACTTCGCCCTGGAGCGCTCGCAATCTGAAGTGGGCAGGGTTGTCCGCTTCGATAGTTTCTCCAAAATCCTGTCGTCAGGTATTCGTGTTGGCTTTGCTTCGGGACCCGAGAGTATTTTGCAAGCTATGGATCAACACGTCTGTACATCCTCCGTGCACACAAAGTATTAGAACTGACAAGCTCGCTTGCCATGCTTTATGACCCACAGAGCACTGTGACAAATCTACAGCCCTCATCCCTCGGGCAGGCGCTCGCATTGAAGGTAGTTAAGGCCTGGGGCTACGAGGGCTTTGCGTCGCATACCGCAAACGTGGCCGCCTTCTATCGCGCAAAGAGAGACGTGTTCGAGGCTGCTATGCAGCGCCATCTCGCCGGCCTCGCGGAGTGGGCCACGCCAGAGGCAGGCATGTTCTTCTGGTACGTGTCTCCTTGAATTGACCGTACAATCAACAAGCGTTGACTGTGCAGTTCGCAGGTTCAAGCTACTCGGTGGAGATGACGACTCGGCGAGCCTCATCCGCACGAAAGCGCTCGAGCACGGCGTGCTCGCGCTTCCAGGGACGGTGTTTTACCCTAACGGGCGCACGACGGCGTTCGTGCGCGCGTCGTTCAGCACCCTATCCCCAGAACAGGTCGACGAGGCGCTGCGGCGCCTGCGCGAGGTCATCCTGGACGAGCGGAAGACGCGCGGGGTCTAAACGTAGGTGGGGCAGAGCTACGGGAGCTGTTCGAGGTGTGAGCTGGGTTCCAAGTCAGTGGCGTGTTTAGGTCGCGAGTGCTGTCCACGTGTGTAGATCGATAGCCTGGACCTGTTGATCAGGCTAATTCATTGATTGTGTGCTAATGTCAGTCGTTTTAACTACAGGTCCTGGCAGGCTCGACTAAGCCTCACGAATATAGGCGTGTGGAGCACTGTCTGGCGCGGCTGTTCCACGGATTGATTGTGCTCTTGGGCTTATCCAAGTTCGATCGCTCTGCGGAAGTGCAGCTGCGACGCACGGCGCACAGAGGTTACAGGCTTGCTGGGTATGACGATTTCCAGGATTTAGCACATAGCGGTAGGCACGCACGCATACTGTCACACTACTTTACCTCGAGCTCTATCAGTGGCTGATACGACTCCGCGGACCCAGTGCCTGTCAGCTACCTTTTGCTTAGTCTCGTCGTGTGCTGGGTGAAACCTCCGAGCACAGCCGGGCATGGTGCAAAGATATCTTCCATCAACCGATGTCGCACTCTCACTCTGGCAGCTGCAGCTTGTGTGAACGTGGCTATTCCAAGTACTTGCGGTGTTCTTTGAATTGACTATAGAGTCAGCCACAGCGATTCTAGAGCTTGTCTCCTACGAGAGCCTCCCTCCCCTTGGTGTCGGCCGACACTCCATTTTGCGCTACTTTGCCCCACAGCCCCATATCTCTAGTACCTGTCAGTTATAGCCTCCTCTCGCTTGGTCTCACCGTGTGCTAGGTGAAGCTATCCACCAAATACATCCGAGCCTGGTTGGGCGCGGAGGCGAGCATTAATCAGGCGAGCACGTCGAGCACATGTTGAGCCCCCGCTTCCCCACCTTAGATGATCGATGATCTCGGGCTAGCGCTGCGCATGTGGGCACGGCCTCATCATACGCGCACGCGGTCGAGCATTGGTTGGACGCGCTACAGCGGCGAATCTGGCGTGCAATCAGAGGCTATCCCGTCGGCTCATCGAAGCGCTGCAGGGTCGCACAGGAGGCTGCAAGGGGAAAGTGCTTTCCGCGACATGGGATATGACTGGCGACCTCTATCACTGCGACATGGGCGCCGAACAGTGGGAGCGAGCGCCGTAAGATCAGGATCGCTCTCAAGCCTACCGCATGTCTGCAGCGCTTCGTCTGGTTGCCGGGGCAGGAGCTGGTGTTGAGCACCACCGCTCTGCGGATGTACGCTTGCTGAGAGAACATTCTGACTGCCACCGAGAAGATGGTTCGGAGATAGCTCGGAGGCAAAGGACACGGCCATCGCGTCGAGACACGAGACGTATGACACGTGATCGTATCCGGACGTGACTCGTGGGCCGGGACGTTCAGGGCACATCCGTGACCGCCTTCCCGCCGCCATCTTCGAGATCGTTGCAAGAGGTACGCGAGGACCGCTCGGGTTGCGTAACAGCGAGTGTCACTGACGAGCCACGCATATAGTCCACAGATACAGTGAGTCCACCGCCGCCGAGCTCCCAGGATGCGAGCCTCACTATTTGTCACCCATGCCCCCTATCTGGCGATGCCTCACGCGTTGTGCATCTCCTTACGAACACCGAACACAGCCCGAGCCACGCCCGACCACTTCTGTTCAGCATAGAAAGGTATATCAGGACACTGAGCGTGTCGCATCAGCCGCATTGGTGATGCTCATCTTTTCCTGCGTCGCTTGCGCAACCTACAGATCATGGCCGCATCCGAGCAAGTCACCCCCGTCAACGCCTGCTTCAAGGTGAAGTGCGACAAATGTGGCAAGACGACCTGGAAGGTACGCGATCATGTTACGTATACGACGTCCGCTGCAGCCAATTTTGTCTCGGAATCCCCCTCCTCCTCCTCGGTCTCGCCCTCCCCGCGGATCATACGCGTGATCTTTGGATACCGCGAAGGATGCCGGGGAGCCATGTTCCGAGTCTTCTATGCTTCGAGTCTGTTTTCCGCCTTCTCCTGCGAGCTGCGCATGTGGGCTGGACGCTGACTTTACGTGTGGTTGTTACAGGGGTGCGGGGCACACGTCGAACAGGTGAGCGTGCACTCTATTTGCTTGATGGCTCATTTGCCACCCTCGGGCTTGGTGATTTCATTTCGGCTAGTCGCGCGATCTGGCCAGGCAGGGGACTCAATGGAGTCGCTTGTGTTTAATCTAGTGTGCATGTTGCCGCCATGAGCTGTAAGCGAGCTTCTCTGCTCTGTTCGCATCGCCCTCGGTGCTGTCGCCGTATTGCACGGCGGGGAAGCTCACGGCTTCGATATCGACGGCGTGTTTGCCTTCACGACAAATTGTTTGCTTGATTTCGGGCTAGGCCAAGTGTGTGTCATCTGTCGCAGGAAGGCCATGGCATCAGATCTGTGGCCGTTGAATCTGACCATCCGGACTGCGACTATGTGTTTCCCCCTTCCCTGGAGGGGTTTATGCACGTCGTCTTTACGAGGTGCTCTGCCCGGAACAAGTGACGAAGCGCTGCTTACGCTTGTTCCGATGTTAGTCTGACTATGATGGGCGCGTTGAGGTCTGCGAGACGCATCCACGAAGCTGCTGGCGCGCCTTCCGCTCCAAAGTCAAACGCACATGGGTGAAGGCCGGACTGAGAAAATATTATATCTGTATTGGGAAAGGTGTGATTGAGCTAGGCCAGGATCCGCGCGGCTGGGCCGCCATGGGCCTGGCGTCTCTCCACCAACACCACCAACAGCGCCCCATGCGTAGTTATCGGCGGAGCCTTTTGGTTCGAAGGGACAACCCTGCGCACCGCGAAGGGCCCCTCATGCGCCGTTGAAGGCAGATTCAGTTCCGTTGCTCGGATTGTATCAAGGCTGCGATGCGATCGCCGTCGCGGGGTTGGCGCTGCGTTTGCTGTGGCGAGCGCCTAGCGCCTGTTTGTCCTGAGCCTCAGGCCAGCCCCGGCGTTCTCCACAATGCGGCAGAGGGTATAACGAAGAGCATCTGGGTCTAGTCTCCTCAGGCACACATCCGAGTTGCATCGGCTGCGGGATATACACCCAAGACCAGCGGCAGTGCTCTCGTACCCAGACCCACCAATCACCCGCTTCCGCGGCGGTGGTGCATCTGGGTACGAGACAAAAAGTGGCAAGGAGTTTCCGATCTGGTTGTGAAGATTTCCTGAAGTTGGAAAGTGATGAGGACCCAGAACAGTGGGAACACGTACGCGACGCTCAAATTCGTGTCTCCATTGTTCGCCCTCGGAGTTGATGGTGACGTACAAGTTGACTGGTGGCTCGCTACATTCTCATGATGGACACTCATGCTCATGCTCTCCGCGCCTAAACAGGTGATGAAGGACGTCAAGGAGGAGGACAAATGCACGTGTGCTCGCTGAGATCTGCTCACCTGGACCAATCGACGGGTTATGAAGTGGGAAATTCGCCGCCATCGATAGCTGTATTTGTCGTAACTGTGTAGTGTGATTGTAGCAGCCTGTGTATGCATATTTTGGGCATTGAGGCCGAAATGACGAGATGGGCGACTGCTCAATCTGGCCTTGCGATCTTGAGCGCCTACGCGGGGACATACTAGTAGAATAAGCGCCCATGTCTCTCACATAGCACTCCACGGAAATCATCTGCCCTATAGCCCCCTCGCCGTCGTCCCTTTCCTCCTTCTCCCCCTCCCCTAGTCCCCCCTCCCCCGCTGGTCCCGCCAGCGAGAACTATCTATGGCAGACGGCGACCCTGGCCCCTCTCACTCTCGCCAGCGCACCGCGCGGCGGGCTGGTGCACGCGAACAGGACATCCTGTCGCTTCGTCACAACATCCCCGACCCTGCCAGCGAGGTCGTCATGACACATGAGATCCACACATACTTCCGCAAGATGATAAACCAGTATGAATTTGACCACCGTGTCGGTAGGGGGCAGCACGGAGACGTCTTCCTGGCGCGGGACACATCGAGTGGTGGTATAGAGGTGGTAAGTGTCCATGTATGCGTCTATGTGCCGCGCTCCTCACCACACTCTGTATATGTACGCACTCCAACCCGTTGCAGGCCATCAAGGCCGTCAAGCGTAAGAACCCCAAGGTAGATAAGCTGAGCATGCTACGAAAGCGCAACCTGCCCAGTTCCCCACACCTCCCCCTTACCGACCAACTCGGCAGCACCGAGCACAAGATTCGCAAGGAGATTGCGATTATGAAGAAGTGTTGTCATCCGCACGTTGTGCGCTTGCTTGAGGTGATCGACGACAACCTGAATGAGCGCATATTTATGGGTACGTCTGCACACTATTCATGCCGATGCGTTGCACACCGCTCGCCAAGCTCATGCATCCTTCCGAGTGCTATCCACTGGCACTTCTGGTTGCCATGCGCTGCCGTCCGCACCTGCCCACAGCCGTCCCCTTACTGGAGACAGGTTGGTAGCAGTATAGTCGAGGCTAGCCTATTCTGCAATGCCCCTCTCGGTCTCTGTATGTTTTCGCTATGTCCTGACGCTTGCCATCTACTACAGTGATGGAATACCTCGGCGGAGGCGAACTGAAGTGGCGTACCTCAACCCACGAGCCCGTCTTACGTGTCGACCAAACAAGGCGCATATGCCGTGATGTCATCCTTGGTCTTGAGTATTGTGAGTAGTGATCGCCGTCTCTTGGACCAGGCCGCTCAGCTGCTAGTGTCCCCACTATAATCCCCTCTCTAGTACACCACCAAGGTATTATTCACCGGGACATTAAGCCCGCCAACCTCCTATGGACCTCTGACCGGCGGACTGTTAAGATCACCGACTTTGGTGTCTCACATTTCTCTTATGCGCAACGGCTTGCTGCTGCAGGCGCCGGCATAGTTCCGTCAGGCGATACGGACCCTATCCTTATGGACGACTCTGACCTATCCAAGACTGCTGGCACGCCCATGTTTCTTGCACCCGAGATTGTCAGTGACACAGCAGATATTGCTGCAGCGTCGTCGTCGTCAAGTACATTGCACCTCGCCCAACGGCGCAAGCCTCCAATCACGAAAGCAATCGACGTCTGGGCATTTGGAGTGACGCTGTATGGACTGCTCTTCGGCAATTTGCCATTCCACGCGGATACTACTTGGGAGATCTACCAGGTTATACGACGCAACGACTGGTCCGTTGAACCAGAAATGGGTGTAGATTCTCTGCCCACTGGCGGAAGATATCAACGGCCCCAGAGGAGAGGCGAGGAAACGGACGGGTATCTCGTGGTGAAGCTCCTTGAAGGTCTGCTTGAGAAAGACGCGCGCAAGCGAATCACCTTGGACGAGGTGAAGGTGGGTATTTTAGCCTTATGTATGCGTATACACAGGACTCATGGCTCTGACAGAGACACCCGTGGATCATCCGTGATATTGAGAATCCTCAGGCATGGTTGCATGAAACGCAGCTGGATCGGGATACGCCATTGGTGCCGACTGCAGACGAGACGAGCTCCGCCATGTCGTCCGTGCGCTTCCGATATTCATCGCCAAATTCCCGCAAAAAGGGGCGCTCGCGCGTGGTCGAGAACATACAGTCTGGCCTGCGGAACGTCTGGCGGAACGTCAAGCCGCAGCGCTCGTTCTGGGGTTCCAGTTCGAACCGTGACGCTGAGGAGGAGGAGGAAAACAAGTTCGGCGTGCAGTCGGCGCCCAACATGCGCATATCGCGGCACCGCACGTCCGCCAGCGCTGGTAGACAATATCACGGGTCGCGGGAGGAACAGCGGAGCCGGGATCCGTACGAGAAGGGTGAGAAGAAGAGGGTCAAGCAGCGCTCCACGCAGCGCGTCGACGGCGCGCGGAACAAGTCGACCACGGACGTGAGCCGCCAGCAGAGAGAACCAGACGTATGGGCGCTATGGAACGACGGCTCAGCTAGCACTGCGATGGCATCATCCATACAGGGTTCTGCACCGAAGCCGAGGCGCGGGTCTTTTCCGTCCAGGTTACCCGGCATGACGCTCGAAGTGCCCGCGAAGCCGTCACGCGTTAGCTCGCCTCAGCCGTCTCCCGGCGCATTCAGCCTGGCCTCGACGCCCAGCGGCGAGGGCTCGGGCACGCAGAGCCCAGACGAGCGCCCGCGGAGCCGCCTGTCGCTCTCATGGATCCGAGCGCCATGGAAGGGCAAGTCTACGAGCCAGGACCCTAACGCGTCATCAGTGTCTGTTGGGCGGAGGGCAAGCATCGGAAAGCGCGGCCGCATGTCCAGAAGGAGCGAGGACGCGTTCAATGTCGTTGCGCCTTCTCGTCAGAGTACAGCAAGCGGCCCGCTGACCCTTGCGATGCGTGCGGCTAGCTGGGGAGAGGTAGGAGACTATGCGCGGCCATCTGAGGACATGACCAGTCTGTACTCAGGGGAGCGCGGCGACGATGCGTTAGACGACGCGACACTATTCCTCGGCGCTGGTGGGGTGGCAGCGAGCCCCATATCTTCTGGCCTCCTCAGTACAGTCTCTTCAAACAACTCATATGAAGAGCTACCTGCCGCGCTGGTGGCACCGCGCGCATTATCTGCCGCACACGCTATCCTGCAACGTAATGACGGCGGTGAGGCGGCAAGCGCAGCCGATCCAGCGACCCAAGACGCGGCAGCGCTAGCCCGCCAGCGAGGCCCGCGGACGACGAGCCCTCTTGCACAAGTGTCTTACAACGAGGGCGAGCTCAGCATCGATCGGGTCAGATCGTACGGCAGCGACGAGTTCGACGACGCCTCGAGCATTTTCGGCCCTGACGGCTCGCATTCGTCTGGGGTATCGTGCGAAGACGACGTCGAGCTGCAACCCAGCACGAGTCAAATGTACCAGGACGAAGACGAAGAAAGTGAAGACGAGGAACATGTTCGTTTAGAGGTTCGGACGCGCCGGCCGTCTGCGTCCGCTGCGGACAGATCGCCCCCGCCGAACCCAGAGCGCGCGCATAGAGGACGGGCGATGATCTGTACATGATATGCTGTCTGTATTTGGGTGACGGACCTTGTTTATCGCTAGACATGGACAGGAGTATTCCCCTTAGGTTGCTTTTCTCTCCTAGCTAGACAACTCCCCTCCTACTTATGTATGTACCCCCCTCACACCCATTTCTCTACCTCTTCACCCATCATCACCCATCATCTTGTCACTTATATTCTCCATCACTTTCCCATTCGATTTTCACTTTCGTAGAATTAGCCTGATCGCCGCCGCCGGCAACAGCAGCCCATATCCATGCTCGTTATACATCCCGTTGTAACATACACACATTTCCTGACATGAACACAGTATGGGTATCGTGGTATCATCAGCGCCATAGCATATGTTGCAAGGGAAGTGAAAGGTATAACATAAGGGCAAAGTAAGGGAGGTATGTAATGAGCGAAAGAAATGCATAGTCAGTGATCAAGATAAATATGCATGAAATACGCATGACAACATAATACAAAATACACAAGACGGCCAACTATGTTGGCCAGCCCCGAAGAGTTCTAGCAGCTCCGCCTCCAAGCTTCCCGAGGAAGCTCCAGACAGCGGCGCCATCGCTCCCGAAACCCTCACCAGAGGCCTGAATAGAGTTGAAGCTTGACCAAGCGGCGCGGTCGTAGTATGTCGCACCACCTGGCACGACGTATTGGGGCGCCATAGCTTGGCCCACAACGAATGCGACGGCAGCCGAGGCACCAATGCAGAACAGGAACTGGCTGGTTGGCATGTACGACCCGCCCTCGGGATCGCCGTAGAAGTAGGTGTTGTAGATGTTGTAGAACCGACTGCGGCGACGACGCGGGTGCTCGCCTTCTTTGGGAGTACGGGGAAGGCCTGTCTTGGCGGACTCCTCGACAATGCGGTCGATGGCCGAGCACTCGACGCCAAGCTCCTCCTTGAGTGCCTTCCAGTCTTCGATGGCATCTACAGAGACGCCGCCAACAATAGGCTCAATGGGCAGCTTGAGACCTTTGTGCCACTTCTTGAGGGTCTCGTTCGCCACACGGATGGCCAGCGCATCACGATCTTGTTCGGCCACATCGTTGTAGTCTGGTGGGAGATCGTGAGGGTGCGGATGAAGGTCCTCGGGATGTGCCTTAGGTGTGGGTGGGATAAGGGTTGATGAGGACGAGGCGAGAGTCTCATCGTCATCTTCAGATTGCGAGGAGGATGACACAGATAGTTCAGGCTCGTCAGTCTGGATCTCCGCATTGGCAGTGACCTTCGCCTCCACTTCTGGCTCGGGCTCGAGCTCTGCCTGGATCTCCACAGACGCGACCGTTGGTTCCTCGGTCTGCACACTAAGCGAACCTGTGAGGACCCTCGGCTCTGGATCAGTCTGCATGGCGAATGAGGCCGTGAATTCTCCAGCTTCATATTGTGTGGCGGTGTCAGAGTACTCCTTGATTTCCTCGACCTTGATGGTTTCCAGACGCTTAGCGCGACTAGCCACTTTCTATGGCGATGGTCAACAGTGTATCGAGCGAGACTAAGAATAGAAAACGCACCCGCTTTGTCCGCGTGATGATGGTCTCGACGACGTCTTCACCTTCAGTTTCCTCTTCCTCTTCCTCCACATCCAGCTGAGTGGAAACCTCTTCCTCCTCTTCCTCATCGTCCATGTCCCATTTACTATCCTTCTGCAATTGACTAAGAAGCTCAGCACCCAAGCTCTTGCTCACACTTCCATGTGCGCTCGAAGTGCCTTGCGAGCCGTGATTGCTTGATGCGCTGTTGCGCATCTCGTCCATATCGAAGCGCATCCGGTCAATCGTCTCTTTCAGCATCAGGTTCTCTTGCTTCTGCTCCTCCAGCTGGGCGTGTGCTTGTTGGGCAACGGCTAGCTCGTTCTCGAAGAACAGGATGCGCTCTTCGTAGGACTGCTGTTCGCGTGCCCATTTGCTCGTCTCGACTGCTTGCAAGGCACTCATGTCGTGGAGGTCCTTAACTTCTTCGTCCCTTCGACGGAGTGCGTTGCGATACCTCTCCGACTCAGCTACACAATGCAACGTGAGGACGTGACAAGCTTTATGATGTCATATTACCTACCGCATTGTTCCTGATACTGCTTCTGCAGGCTCGTGTACGACGCTCGCGCAGTGTCCAAGCTCTTCTGCAACATTGCAATCTCTGACTCCAATGCCGAGATTTGGTTCTGGTTGGTGCGCTGTGGAAAATATGAACATCCTTTATTCAACACGCCACAATACGTAAATCGTACCTCCTTGGCTCGGAGTTCTTTCTCCTCTCGTTTAGTAGCACTCAGCTCACTTCTAACTTCCTCGAGTCGACCTTGCATATCCTCAAGCTCTTGTTCGTGGTCCGCAAGTCTGTTCTGCAATGTTCGCTCTGCCTCGAGCAGCTTGCGTCCCAGATCCGTGTTAATGCGCTGCAACGCGTCCACGCGCTCTAGCACGTCAAGCGACACAGTCGACGATGCAGCGGACCTGTCCATCACGAGCCCCGTCATTGTGTCATCTTCGCTATCCGAGCCTGGGTCCGACCCAGAGCGCGACGCGCGAGGCATTGGGAGGGAATTGACACTCTGCTCAAAGTGCTGGTCGTCATCGAACGAAGAATCGAGGTCGGACGGCGGTGGGGACATCAGGCCTCCGTTAGATCGCGCTTGGCCACGGTAGTCAATCTCATGCTCTGGCGAAAAACTGCGCGAGAAGTCGCCCGAGAAGCTATCCATTGACTGGAAGTATCCTTGGGGCTGAGATTGCGCGCGGGAATGCGGCCGCGAGATGGTGCCCATATTCGGGGAACTTATCGGTGAGCTGGGAGCAGATGGGTTTGAAGGCGCGCGCTTCCGTCCCGGTGTGCGTCCGTACGCAGTCGGAGGACCTGTAGACTGAGTACATATATGCATGAGTATGAATAGGCGTAAGTAGTGCGAAGGAACGCACCTCTGAGTCACTGGAAGCGCGGCTGCGTGAGGTACTCTTCCGCCGGGATGGTGGTGGCCGACGCGACCAGCTCGAAGGAGCCGCGTTGCTGAGCGGTGTAGAGCGCTGCCGACGCGACGTGTCGAACGGCGAGTCGTGATTCGTGGGTGTCTTGGGTGGCACCGGCGGTCCGCGCGAAGACGGTCTCCACACGGAGGTTCCTGTAGAATCTCTGCTGGACGAACGCGAATGATCCTCGTCCCAGTCACGCTCCTCCGACCTTCCACGGTGATCGAGGTCAAAGTTGTCGGGCGGGGGAGAGCCCTGTGGGCTTTGGTGGGGACTGAGGGTCGTTCGCATTGCGATGAACTGCAGGAGAACTTGAGGGGTAACCGCGAGCCCAGGGTTGCTTTCGATGAGATTGATCATCTGCGTTTCCTCCTCGCGCGTCATGAGTTCCACGGAGTCATGGTTGCTCGAGAAGGCCCGCAGAACGTCCACGAGCGCGTCACCTGGAATGACGGGTTCTCCATTGTCATTGGTATGTGATTGCGGGTGATCTTCAAATATGCTGTACAATTCGTCTTCCATGTCGGCAATTGACTGCCGATTGCGTCCGTATGTTGACTGCGCGGTGTCAGAGGCGGACGCAGATGTGTTCAGCTTGCTCACCTGTTCCATCTTTGTTGCATCTACTCGCAGAAAAAGTGGGGATTGAAGGGGGGAATTCAGATGTGGCTCGTCGCCAGCGGAACCCGTTTAACGTATTGTTTACGTAAGCCAAATGTGCTAGCTTTGGTCGCGATTCATCATGTGATCGCGCTTGGTTACCACAACGCCACACACCGTCTCCACACGTGTCAAAGCCACATCCATTGTGGCGATAAAATGTGTTCCACGAGGCTCATGAGCCCGTGAAATGTAAGCGGGTGGCTCGAAGAAAGTGACATAGACACCCGTAGAAGCATGCCATCGTCATGAGCGACGCTTAGCACGTCCTTGGTGCGCGATCGAGTCTAGGACGTAAATGGGCAACTTCATTCCAGGGGCACTTACGAGTCACTATAGAACTACGACAATGCAAACAACATGATGCGAGGATAGCGGGGCCATACGGGGTACGATGAGCTAATGCTGATATATCTGAGGCTCGATTGAGACATATGCGTGGGTACGTCGGGTGTAATTGGTGTAACAAAATGAGATATTGCATGCAGCCACAGCAAAACGAAATCATGCGACAAACCATATTTTCTCTTAAAACATATTCGAAATCAATGACCCGCGCCCCTCAGAAGGCTCGGCGGGCGCCGCCGCTGGGGGCCCTAACACCAGTCAGAGATGGCTTAGACTCCTTTGGTCTCAAGCCACCGGTCAAGGTGCCGGGAGCAGGCAGGCGCGAGGCCGGTCTGGGCAACGCAGATCCGGATGAACTTCCAGCCCCGGATGTAAGGCGGGCTGGAGCCTTGAGGCTAGTCACGCCACGAGTGGCTACACCTGCCCTGAGCATTGTTGTCGAAGGCATGCGACCTATGCTCGTTCCAGATGTGGCGGTGGCGGTGCCACTAGCGTTAGTCAACTTGTGCGTCTTCTGTGCCACCATAGAAGCCGCAGCAGGTCCAGAGGGCGCCCTCTGCCCTTGCTGCAGGTTCGGCCGCTGCACTCCCGCAAATCGGCCTCGAGCGTCCCCCGTATTGACAGAAGTCGCTCGCGCCTTCCCTGATACAGCTATCCGTACTCCAGCACCTGCTTGACCGCTAGCTGATGGGAGGATTACACCTGAACTTGAGATTTCTGCACCAACAGGCGGCCGCTGCACGCCACGAATGATGGTCCTAGGAGCGCGCGGCGGAGCCGCTGTATCAGCAATCGACGAGCCAGATTCATTTGCTGACTGAGGTTCCGGCTTCAGAGAAGTGACCGTATTTCTCCGGCTGCGGACCTCAGGGTGGCTGGTGCTCATGCTTATTCTGCGTGAATTTATGCTGCCAGTCTTCCCGCCACCAATGCTGGAGCTAGAATCCGAAGTCGACATTGAGGACGCTGTGCTGGTGGTGGAGTCGCCACGACCATGAATCTTCCACGCCTTTTTAACGATACGAAGAGCAGGAATTGGCGCCTCAACGACAGGAGGCGACACAGGTGTCGTCGGATTAAAATCTGACTGAGACAGTAGCTGGGCTTGGGGCGCCAAATCAGAGGGCTGGACCCGCTCAGATACTGCATGGAACAGATGGTGAGAACGCATTTAGTGACTTACAAGGTAATACTCACTACTTTGCTGTTGAGCAATGAGCGGCAACTCGTTAAATTGCATAGATGATAAGCGGCTGCAGAGTGACTCTTCTTCCAACACTGTCATGCAATCTAAGACATTGCATACATCAAGCAGAAGCCTGCGAGCACACCTGAATCTGAAATATCCTTAGGAACGCTGAACACCGGCATTCTGCTTAGTAGTTGGCGGGCATTACGCAAGGCTAAATCTATGGCGTAGCCTTAAAAACGGGTTGACAAACATTGGTGGACAGAGCTCACCTGTCGATGACTCCTCGACAATCTCCTCTACCTGAGCTTCCGGCTCAGGCCTAAGTGTACGCTGCTCCAACGCCTTAGCAATTGGTTCACTGTGAGCTTCTGGCTTAGCAGTCTGACGGGCATTCATCTCCCACTGCTCTTTCTCCGCTAGCTCGTACGCTCTAGCAGCGGCTTCCATGTTCTCCTCTTCGGCATCTAAATCGAACTCCTCGTCCTCACCTTCCCCTCCAGGCCAAGACGCGTCCGTACCATGAGGGCCACCAAAGAACGAGATTTTGTCGTTCAGCAGGTCGAACGACATCTCCGCCGAGTGCATATGCATGCTGAATGACGTTTGCAGGTCAACCGAACGCCGCCGTGGGTCGTCAGCGGCTATGGTGCGCTTGGGTGGACTACGGCGGAGGGGCGGCACGACCACGGTAGACGAAGACGCGAACAGGCGGTCGGTCGGCGAGTCGGAGGTGGGCGGAAGGTCAGCTTCCGTGAGCGAGTCTGACTCGGAGTACGTCGGCGAGCTGACCGTAATCTGGGGAAAAGACAACGGTATGGCGATGGTGTCTTCCATCACTTCTTCCTTGTCTTCGTTGTCTGAGTATGTGTCCGTCACAAGATCCTCGAGAGGTGGCTCGGACTTGGACATATGTGTTCGATTGATAGAGTTGATGACTATGGCAAGGGGTGCACCCGGTGGGGCAGCGGTCACAATCTGGACCGGACCAGAGCTCCCCTCCGAGGGCGCCTCGGAGATGCAATCCAATGATTGCCCCGCGGGCTGCTTCTGGTTCTCCTCCAGGACAATATCGACCAACGGTGCTCTCTTCAAGGACGCGGGTTCACGCGCGTCGTCTGAAGGGAAGTCTCCCAGCTGGAACATTTGTACATTATCTTCCTCCGAGTCGCTTTCGGCGTCGCTATCAGATTCTGAACCAGACGCGTCGAGCACGACGGTCGTGTCAAAGTCAATGAGCTTGCCCTTGGGTGTCTTCGGTGCCACATGTTTCTGGTAGTGCGCGGCGCGAGTGAAGAAAGCAGTCAGATCCCCCGGCGCGTCGTTCTCCTTGTCGGAGCTCCCAGCCTCAGGCGACTCAGGCGAGTCCCTGCGTGGCGTAGACGGCGTCTTGAGAGGGTCAAACATGTAGAGGACGCTATTGCGTGGCTTGTTACTCGGGAGGGTGGTATCCATGGTGAAGCGACTGAGAGAAGCTCCTCGAGTCGTTGTGGATTGTGTGAGAGAGCAAACGCTGGTGGATCTCGCCGAGACGCGCAGTTCGACTTCGCTGCACGGGATTAACACGTGATCGCGTATGGTGGAACGCGAGACGCGACGCGTCAGGCTCTACGCCACAAAGTTGAAGCTCTCAGCCGCTTTTGGTTGAGAACATGCCCACCAGTTGACGGTCGCACTTTTGAAAACTGAGAACTGATATTTATGCCGTCCTCATGAAGATGGTTCGCTTGTGGCTGCCCTTGTCATTCAACTGGCGACAGAGTGACGGAAGCCGGAGACAGGCAAGTATACAGGCTACGACAGAGCACTTGCTTACTCAAGCCTGTTCACTGTCTCTGAAACACCATTAAAATTGCGAAATAGTGCACATTCACTCCAGCGGAGCGACTCATTCACCAAGGTTTACAGGACACGCCTGTTTCGAAGAGCTGTGAGGAAGTGTGTTGGATTCAGGGGCCACAGCTCAATACATCACATTGACCACACCAGCCATACAATGCACAAGACAGAAACGGGGTCTGTATAAGCACAACTGAAGCGAGCGAACTAAGCACAGAAGGTGAAAGTGCGTCCAGGACATAAAGAGGAAATAAACTACACGTGCAGGCAACCGATGAGAAACCAAAGGTCACTGATCATCTTCAAGATATTCACGCTTTCTCCCGAACCTCCCGCCAAAGCAGAGGCCACAACCTGCGCCCAAGGCGACGAGGAATAGTAGGACGGAAGACACAAGGGACATCCAGATCTATCGTGAGAACGCGTTGAGCGTTGAGCGCCTGAAGCGAAGAGCGCAATGAGTGTACTCACGAGAGGGCCAAGCGTGGCTGTATCTCCTTCCTTCTGAAAAGCCGACAATGCTACCGCGGTAATGTATACCAGCACTACAAACGCGGCAATGGAAAGGGCAGCGGCGAGGAAGGATAGCATACAGGACAAGAGTATTGGGTAGGTGCGGGAGCGAGGTGAGCGCAAAAGGGGCAGGAGAACAATCAGTGATATAAGACTGACCCCCGCGGCTAATCACGAAAGTCAGTCCATCGCGCGGAAGCACACTGCGATAATACACACGCACCCGCGGGGAACAGGACCATAATACTCGAGAGCGGTTCTGTTATTTTGGTCTCGAAGGTGTAGCCCAACCTAGGGCTGCGTTCTGGTTGATTCAACACGCGATTCAGGATTCACTCACTTTGCAGCAGTGCAGGTCGTTGCACAATAACCCCATATCCCGAATCGCACGCCATTATCGTCAGAGGTCTCGAGAAAGTAGAAGACACGGATTAATGGGGCCGACACGCTGATGAGCACACTTCGCGAACGTTTATTTTGGAAGTGACATCATGTATTTATGAACTCACAGCAAGACCGTCGCAGCAAACGTACCCAGAAACATGGGCAAGACATGGTTGTACATCGAGGCGATGAGGTCTGTCGAGCACAGGAAAGACGCAAAGATAAGCTGCCAGGCGACGGATTTTTGCACTGCTATGCGATGGGGTCAGCTGCTCAATTGTCAAGTCGACATCCGCACATGCTTGATGCAGCTCGGTTCCGACTGGTTGGGGGATTGTGGGAGGGCAGGGGGACTGCGCAGTCGATGTCGGAAAGTACACGAAAGAGAGCGGACAAAACGCGCCGTGCCATTGACAGATGGCCCGTTCAGATGAGCCACATAAAGGCAGCAAAGCCTCAGGCCAGGAACCATGTGGCACATGGCGCGTCACTCCATCTTGGCACAGGCCCTGATCGCAGCGCCCCGGATGCAACAAACAACGCGCAAACAAACCCCGCGCGTCTCTGATCTCGATCGCGTCGCAAGATCGAGCTTACTTTCGAGTCCGCAAATACACGCATGAGACGCGAAAGACCTGCCGATACGAATTCAGCAGTATCCGATATGTATCTATAGAGCTCGTGAAGGCGGTCATCAGCGTCAGAGTTGGTGTACATACGTGTTTGCCACGGGCTACAAAAATTGCTATACGCGTCCCGCACCTGGAGATGTGGCTACAAAGGATGACAACGAGAGTAAAATGTCTGTTGTAGGGTCACATAGCCATTGCAGCCGAAATCGAAGCCGGAAGTTGCGGCCATGATCTGCTCTCCGAGGTGGAAATCACCCTGTTGAGAAATTGCAGCCATTGCCGAGATCTGGCGTCTATAGCCGCAAACCGCCTACGCTCTACGCGGCTTGGTATCGCTGCATGGACAACGAACACATGATCCGACGTGTCGCGCAGCTGAATCAAGCGAAGGACGTTTTCGCCTGCGTGTATATGGGCCGTGATGTCGAGGGGCCCGTTAATTTCGCCCTGGAGTGGACAACAAATCGGCTGTGGTTGAGCTACCCAAGAGGGAGTACATAACATACCAGAACACTTGGGAGGAAGGCATGAGAGGACACTGAATGTCCTGGATTCGCCTCTATGACGAGCGTCCCTTTGGCCGGCCATGACGTCGGAATCCTCCATAACGCTGCAGCAACTTCCGCCGGCGACGCAGCAGGATCCAAGCTCCGGTTCACTTCAGCGACAGTGGCCGTCGGGAGGCAGAGAAGGTGCACCGATATATGAGTATCGGTATCGCTGCACGTGTCAATTGACTCGACGGATGGGATGAATCGAACGAGATCTGAACGTACTCGAAGCCTATATCCCTATGCGCCCATCGATGGGCCGCAGAAGCGGTATCATCTTCGACAATGAATGGTATCATGCTAATATCGGGTATCTTGCTGCCCACTGTCATGGCCCATAGACCGGGGACGCGGTTCAACGGAGGGCTATCAGCCAACTGGTCTTCGGATGAGGCTCTGGGTTCAAGTGTAGCAATTGAGGGCGCTTCTTTATCAATGTCAGCTGCTGACAGTCCACTCTGAGACGAATATCCGCTCGCAGGTGCGTGAAGAGGAGTGTCCGGCATGCTCTGGGGTGCCGCAGACAAAGGGCGATGAGGCTGACCACTCGCCGGAGTCTCATCTGGAGCCAGACAATCTTTGACGATGCGGATCGCAGAATCTAGAGTGAATAGAGCATCTGACTGAGCAGCTCCGCCAATTTCAGTCTCGTCTCGTGAGCGTCCGCGACCAGCGGCGGCGTCGAGTTGGCCGTCGGTTCGAGGGATCTTGCTCCCGCGCACATGCGGCTCATTCGCTTCGTCCTCTATGCGCACTCTCTTGACGCCAGCCCGACTCCCGCCTCCGCCGCCAGTGCCGGCCGCTTCCACGTGTTGCGTATTGTCGTTACCGTGCACAATCCCGCGACTTTGCATCTCCGAGACGACCCTTTTAGCATGGCCTACCATTTCCTTGCACCACTCGTCTGTAGCCAGCTCCTGGACGCGCGCCGCTAACACCTCGTAATCTACGTGAGGATCCCGGCACTGCGCGTTGCGTATGACCTGCGGGACCAGCAGTCGCCGGCATTCCTCCAGCACGTACGAAGAGGTCGAAGCAGACGATGCGTCCCGCGGAGCTTCTGATGATTCCGACTGCTCAGGACCAGAAGAGACCGCGTGGTGGTTGTGCGTATCGACGAGATTGGGATCCAGCACGCTAGCCAGGAAGTTCTCGACTGCGGTCTCGGAGACAGGGGAGAACTGTACTGTGTCGCCTTCGTCTTCAAATGTGCGGGGCACCAGTGTCTCTGGGCTCGACGAGATATCGTGTAATGATCCGTTCTCGACGACCGGCTCGAGCGGGACACCTAAGAGCGTGGGGCTGGGTCCCATGTCGGTTTCTGTAATGGACGTGGATGCAGAATCAGCGTCCTCCGCAGAGACAGGAGACGCAGCAGCGTGCCCCAGGCGATTGAGCAGAGACAGAGCCGCAGGTTTTATGGAGAGTCGGTCGAGCAGTGAAGACGCCATGACTGTCGGTACAATGGCCCATACGGTTGCTCGAGCAATTTCACTCACTTGCACTCATGTGCCCGCAGCGCTATGTCTGTTCCAGCGTGGCCCTCTTGAACTCTCTTTTCCGCTTGCCCTAGAAACAGGCACAATAATCCTAGTGCGATGGACACGCCAGTATGCAGTGAATTGGTGCAGCCGTGCTATTATACTCCACGATGTCAGGATCTTGCTGAATCACTGGCGAAGGAATCGCTGCATGTTTGCAATTTGCGTCAGAGCAGCAGGAGATAAACAAGGGATAGAAACACCGGCTCACGCTGAATCTCAAGATGGTCCCCAGTGCAAAGTGCACCATGCGCATGGTGATCGAGGTATAGGCAACATAGTCTCAACATTATGTCTCCGCTTTGGAAAACAGACCATATGTGCCCCATGGCTGAGTTGGTTACAGCGTCCGACTGTTAAGCGATGTCATTCATTACATGTGGATCACGCAATGGCATCGGAAGGTCGTGAGTTCGAGCCTCACTGGGGCAGTGTTCCTTTTTATGCCCTCCATCCACCAGATCATAAACAGGATCAAACAACTTCGCGGACTCGCGGTGGCTGAACAACTCCTTGATCACTGCATTCCACCACTTGTCTCTCTCACTTGCAGTCACTGCAACACAGCTGATCATGTCTTCTTATGGAGAGTTGGTCGAGCAGTGAAGACACCATGATTGTTGGTACAATGGTCCATACGGTTGCTCGAGTAATTTCACTCACTTGCACTCATGTGCCCGCAGTGCTATGTCTGTTCCAGTGTGGCCCTCTTGAACTCTCTTTTCCGCTTGCACTAGAAACAGGCACAATAATCCTAGTGCGATGGACACACCAGGATGCAGTGAATTGGTGCAGCCATGCTATTATACTCCATGATGTCAGGATCTTGCTGCCTGCAAGTGTTTGAATCGCTCAGGTGACACTTTTTAACCTTCATTTGTCATGTAGCATAGCAGTGATGGTGTCGCGACTTGAGGTCAAGCGACAGGGAAAACCTAAAAAAGCTGGGGGCGTTCGACTGGGTCTCACCGAAGCAATAGTGAGCAGCGCTCAAACCTAAGGCTAGGGACAAGTAATATATTAGTTAGTTAAGTAAGAAAGAAATACAAATAAGGGCTTACTGACCTAGGGACAAGAGGTCGAAACTGAGGTCCCTAGGGCAGCAGAGGCCGGCTTATATACATGGGGAGATAAGGGCAGGCTGTGCGCACTGGTCCGTGCGCAGCTGGTCCGTGCACAGCATGCTGACGCGGCCCCGGGGGCCGGTGAGTCAGAGCGGCTGTGTCAGCGGAGCCCGAGCTGTGCCGCGCACTGCCGCCCCATCTAATCTAATCGTACAGTAGATAACGACGCATCCATATCAGGCATGTAGTACAGAGGTCGCGGGTTTGAGCCCGCGAAAAGGAAAAATTAAAAAACGGCTAGACACCGTACCAACTCGTGACATTACCCCCCCTCAACGGCGCATGACCTCATGCGAGGCGCCCTTGCCCATCTCCCACCCGGAGCGGCAGTGTGCTTCAGTCAGCGGCGATGGCATCGGCTGTAAGTTGAGACCCTCAAAGGTAGCAGCATTGAGGCGACGAGGGGTGTTCAGGTTCTTCTGGTGGAAGTCGGCTATGAGGGCCGGCGCATTGGCAACGTTGCGTGCCGGTTCCCATGACGTATGCGAGTCATCATAACCCTTCCACTTGACGAGGTACTGCAGTTGACGCCGGAAGATCCTCGAATCCTTGATCTGCTCAACCTCGTACTCCTTGTTGCCCTCAACCTCAATGGCAGGCAGCTCCTCCGGCTCTCGGCCCGGGATCTCGCTATGCGTGTACTTGCTAAGCAAGGAGACATGGAATACCGGGTGCACAGGCACCGACTTCGGCAGAACCAATTCGTAATCCAAATCTCCGAGCTTTCGCCGCACGGCATATGGCCCAAGGTGCTTGGGACTGAGCTTCTTGCTCGGCTGTTTCAGCTTAAGGTTCCAGGCATCAAGCCAGACCTTATCCCCCAGCGTGAAGACCGGTGCCTCCTGCACGTGCTTGTCGTAGTACACCTTCATTTGCTTAGCTGACAGCTCAAGCGCAGAGCGCGTATCATCGCGAACCTCCTTCAGGATCTTAAGCCAATCGGCAGCAGCAGGCATCGCGGACATCAGATTGATCTGAACCTGGATCTCCGGATTGTACCCCTGATGCAGGAAGAAGGGGGAGTACCCGGTAGCGGAGTGAACTCGATTGTTTAGTGCGAACTCCGCGAGTGGCAACTGCTTTGCCCAATCATCCTGCCTGTGGCTTGTGAAAGCACGCAGGTACTGCTCGATCTCCTGATTCCAGTGCTCTGTCTGGCCGTCTGTCTGAGGATGAAATGCTGTGGACAGTGCTGGCTTGATCCCCAGTCCCTTGTACACCATATGGAGATACTTCGAAGCGAACTGGGGACCTCGGTCTGATATGACCTTGGCCGGGGCCCCATGATGCTTGAACACATCGCGGATGTACAGATCTGCCGCACCTTCTGCCGTCAGGGTCTTATGACAGGCCGAGAAGTGGACCTGCTTTGTGAAGCGGTCAGCGGTGACCAGGATCGAGTCGAATCCATCAGACTTTGGCAAGCCGACGATCATATCGGTCGTGATGATCTGCCATGGGCGCTCGGGGATCTCGTTCGGCTTCAGCGGACCCTGGGGCTTGGCTGGGAATGTCTTGGTACGGTTGCACACGTCGCAGGTGCTTACGTACTCATTGACAAATTTGGACATCCCAGGCCACCAGTAGTTCCGTGATACGGGCTCAAGGGTCTTGGCCCGACCGCCATGGCCGGCAATTGGCGAGTCGTGGTGGATTTTGACAATATCCCGCCGGAGCTCTGTGTTCTTTGGGACATACACGCATCCGTGGAACAGCAGGAGTCCTTGTTCGGCATTCCACTCCTCAAAGCCCCTTTGCAGCCGGGGTGGCCCGAGGTCCTGCACCTTTTCAAGTGCCTCGGCCACTACACGATCCTTCTCTGAACATTCCCTGATGCGTTTCAGAAGCGACTGATCGGCCGTCACTGAGGCATGGCCGTGCTGGGCGGAGGCGATGCGGAAGCGCTCTGGCTTGAGAACCACCTGATCGGTGTTATCATCCTCATCGCCGATCTGATGATCTGGCCGGCAGGACAGGGCATCGGCTTTTCCATTCGACGTCCCGGCTTTATGCGTGATGTGGAAGTCGAAACGAGCCAAGAATAGCGACCATCGTGCCTGACGCCGCGTGAGGTGCTGTGACGTTCGCCAATATTTGAGATTCTTATGGTTGGTCACAATCTCAAACTGATTGGGTAGTCCCTCAAGATAGTGGCGCCAGTCGTCTAGTGCTTCGATGATCACAAGCATCTCCTTATCGTAGATCTTGTAGTTCTGCTGCGCCGGATCCATCGCATGGGATTGGAAGGCTACTGGGTGCCATTTACCATCATCCTGCTTCTGCATCAACACGCCACCGGTGGTGTACCCTGAGGCATCGACTTCAATGTGCGTCTCCCGGTTAGGGTCGTATAGCGCCAAGACTGGAGTCGTCGCAAAGAGCCGCTTGAGCTCATCGAAGGCGTGTTGCTCCTCTTCGCCCCAATGCCATGGGTCGTTCCCTGTGAGTCGGTCGAGTGGTCGCGAGATCTTAGCGAAGTCTTTGATGAAGCGGCGGTAGAAGTTGGAGAACCCCCGGAACTTCTGAATGTCTTTTTTGTTCCGGGGTACCGGCCACTCATTAATTCCTTTCAGCTTCGCGGGATCCATCGCTACCTCATCGCCGCCGAACACATAGCCGATGTAGTCAACTTTGGGAACATCCCATTCACACTTCTCAGGTTTCAGGAACAGATCGTTGTCCTGAAGGCGACGAAGAACCTCGCGTGTGACCTTTTCATGCTGCTCTTTGTTGGTAGAGAAGATGAGTATGTCGTCCAGGTACATGAGGATCTTGCCGCCGACGATGAGATCGTGGAAAATCTCGTTCATCATGGCCTGGAAGGTTGCGGGGGAATTGGTGAGGCCAAAGAACATCACCAGGGGTTCGTACAGCCCCTGGTTAGTTACAAAGGCAGCTTTCCACTCGTCACCGGCTTTGATCCGGACATTGTTATAGCCCCATCTGATGTCGAACTTGGTGAAGAGCGTGGCACCACGGAGCTTGTCTACCATTTCGGTGATCAGCGGCAGCGGGTAACGATTCTTGACGGTGATCGCGTTCAACCGGCGGTAGTCCTGTACTGGTCAAAGTGTCCCTTCCTTCTTTTTGATGAAGAAGAAAGGGGACGAGATGGGCGACTTTGATTCCCGTATGTAGCCCTTTGCCAGTTGCTCCTTGAGGAACTTGTCAAGCTCCTCCTGCTCATTGTTCGACAGGGGGTACACCTTCGAATGGAATGTCGAATAGCCGGGTACGAGTTCGATCGCATGATCGTACGGCTTCCTTTTGGGTAGTCGTTCTGATGCTTCCTTCGAGAAGACCTTCAGAAACTCGTGGTACTGCTTGGGTACCGACTCTTCAGCAGTTTTAACGACCTTTTTCTTGATCTCTTCCTCAGCGAACAGCTGGGAGTACGTATGCCCTGCTGCGACGAACAGCTGAGGGGCGCCGGGAAGCGTGATACCTTGCTCCCAGGCCTCGATCAAGTCGGCCTTGTCCCACTCGACCTCTACCTGTCACGACTTGGTACGGCATCTAGCCGTTTTTTAATTTTTTCCTTTTTGCGGGCTCGAACCCGCGACCTCTGTACTACATGCCCGATATGGACATATCACTATCTACTGTACGATTAGATTAGATGGGCGGCAGTGCGCGGCACAGCTCGGGCTCTGCTGACACAGCCTCTCTGACTCACCGGCCCCTGGGGCTGCGTCAGCATGCTGCGCACAGACCAGCTGTGCACGGACCAGTGCGCACAGCCTCCCCTAAACTTCCCCTATATATAAGCCGGCCTCTGCTGCCCTAGGGACCTCAGTTTCGACCTCTTGTCCCTAGGTCAGTAAGCCCCCAGTTGTATTCTCCTTGCTTACTTAACTAATATATTAACTTGTCCCTAGCCTTAGGTTTGAGCCTAGCTCACCATCGCTTCGGTAAGATAAGTCGAACGCCCCCAGCATTTGGTTTTTCCCCTGTCGCTCGACCCTAAGTCGCGACACTACCAGATCTTCTTCGGGTTCGAAGTCCGGGAGTACCTTACTCCGGCAGGCACCTATGACTGACCGTTTGGACTTCGGTGAATGCCTGCGCACTGTGGGCCTGACCCCCGTATCACGCGCAGTCGCTGCTTGCTCCATCCAGCCAGTTCTCCTGGCACTGCATGTTTCAGGGCATCGCGACAATTTGAGGGAGCCTTTCTCCCAATCGATTTCGGGGTTGTGCTCATGCAGCCAATCCAACCCAACGATCACATCTTCTGGACCGATGTCCGTGACTGTAAACACCGTCTTCTCGACGTGTTCTCCTATCTGCATCTGTAGCACAGCTACTTCCGAGATGCTTCCGTCTTTATTGAGGGTGCCGTCGATATTGTATAGCAGAATTGGCTCTTTCAATTTCCGCGTCTGCACCTTATTTTCTACAATGAATCGCTTGTTGATAAACTTCGTGGTGACTCCGCTGTCCACCATAGCGATTATGTCTTTGTGCCATCTTTTTCCTTGAAGTCAAACTGGGATGTGAAAATGCTGGGACCCCTGGTCCAATTCGTACACCGTCGCAGTTGACAATACATTATACTTATTACAGGATATATGCGGCCCGACGCGTGCGGCACGAAGCGCGGACCGGATCAAAAACCCTCTTCCTTCATCGCCCAATAGTGCTTGAGCTCCTCGCGCATCGACTTCACCTGTGCCATTAAGTCCGCCAGCTCCGATTGCTCGGATTTTGCTGAAGCGGCACTTATACTTGCCGAGGGTGAAGTGATGGGGGCGCTTGTCGCCGCCTGGGTGGATCCTGAGGCAACCGTAGCCCGTGTGTCGGCATGTTTTGTGTAAGGCTTGTCCTTACAATTGGGGCACTCGAAACGACAGTACCCTTGCTTCCCGCAGCCAAAACAACTGCCAGGGAAGTTTCCTTTTCTGACGGTCGCATTGATGCTGGCTGAAGCTGCGTGCAACTGGGGTGCACCACCACGTGCCCCTCCGCGTCCTCGACCTCGGGCCGGGAAGAAGTTGTTTAGCTCGGGCCGACGGGCCCGGCTGATGTCGAGGATCTGCTTGACCTCAGTGGCACGCTTCTCAGCTTCTAGCCACGTGGTGAAGGTCTCGAGCTCGATCTTGCGATACACGTGGGAGGGGATGCCACTCAGGTACTTGTCGCGTAGCTCCAGGTCCCCATACCCAGAGTGATCCGCCGGACCCTTGAACAGCGCGGAGAATTCCGCAGCGGTGCATTTTTCACGGACCGACTTGTCCGCGCAGAGCTTCGCCAGCTCTACTTGTGCTGCCGCCTCGTCGTCGAGATTACCGAAGCGAGCCTTGAAGGCGGCAGTGAAGGCTGCTTCGTTCTGAAACGGGGTCGTGACCCCTTGTACACCCATCTGCACCGACACGAGTTGGGCGAAGTAAGGAGTGGCCCAGGCACGGGCATCTCCGTCGAGCAGGCTCAGTGCGACCTGTACTTTGAGCTCGATGGTGGTTAACGACGTGTTAACCAACCAGTAGATGCGTAGCTGTGACAGGAACCTGTCACACTCGATGACAGTTTTGCCGTCATAACGGAGAGGGAGGAGGAGCTTCAGGGTCTCCTTGTCGGGGGCAGCCGTGGGTGAGGACATTATCGGCGGCGGGGGGGACGGAGGACGGTGCGGGGGCGGAGGTGGCTGTTGTGTCCCTTTGCTGGTCGGACTTCGAGGGGAGCGAGTGCGCGAGCGGCCTCACGGCGGAGACGGCGGTGAAGGCGCCGGAGGAGGTTCGGAGGTGGGGTTACGTACGTCAGGGACTGCTGACGTGGAGGCGAGCGCTGTCGGTGAGGCGGGCCGAGCAGAATCCGCGAACTCGGACTCCGAGACTCCTTCTTCACTCGCACTCTCCTCAGGCTCAGGCTCTGGCGCAGGGTATGGAGGGAGATCTCCTCGCGCTTGACTTGGACCGGCAACAGTTTGGGGAAGGCGGGAGCTGGGGGAGACAGGGCGAGAATGTCAAGAGGCGGATCGGAAGGCGAGGGTGCTGCAGGGGCCGAGCGGATGTTGGGCCCTTCTGATCGCCTTGTACCGTGGGTAATCCTGTTCGATCGATCGGGGTGTCCGGTTGGGGCACAGCTGCTGCTCGCAGGTGAGGATAAGGGTGTCAGGACCATCTGGGATGTAGACATCAACAAGGTCCTGAGAGTCGAATGCGTGAACTTGGCCTTGACAGGCAGCCACGATGGATGGGGGGAGGACGGGGAGGTGCGCGTACTACAAAGGCCATGCTATACTAGCTTACACCTACGGCACCCAAGATAACACTAGAGTTCGCAGTTCACGTGGGGCCCAGTACTGCTTTTGGCTAGTATGCAGCAGGAACCTAAGCCACGCGTCCGTGAGGACAAGTACCGCCCACTGAAGTGCAGGTACTGAAGAGTTCGTCCCCTAAGTGGTGGCGATGTATAGTAGGGTGCACACCACCCGACCTGTAGGAAGTGAAAGTGAGTGTTTTTGGGTTCCGATGAACACCGGCAGCGGTGGGCAGTTTTGACCTAATGTCGCGACTTGAGGTCAAGCGACAGGAGAAAACCTAAATGCTGGGGGCGTTCGACTGGGTCTCACCGAAGCGATGGTGAGCAGCGCTCAAACCTAAGGCTAGGGACAAGTAATATATTAGTTAGTTAAGTAAGAAAGGGAATACAACTGGGGCTTACTGACCTAGGGACAAGAGGTCGAAACTGAGGTCCCTAGGGCAGCAGAGGCCGGCTTATATACATGGGGAGATAAGGGCAGGCTGTGCGCACTGGTTCGTGCGCAGCTGGTCCATGCACAGCATGCTGACGCGGCCCCGGGGGCCGGTGAGTCAGAGAGGCTGTGTCAGCAGAGCCCGAGCTGTGCCGTGCACTGCTGCCCCATCTAATCTAATTGTACAGTAGATATGATGTGTCCGTATCAGGCATGTAGTACAGAGGTCGCGGGTTCGAGCCCGCAAAAAGGAAAAAATTAAAAGACGGCTAGACGCCGTACCAACTCGTGACAGACGGTCATGATGATAATCGATTTGTGTCTAGTAACTCTGCTACCCACCTTGCAAATCCAAATTTGCATGCTGCATTTTGAGAATCTCAACTTCATTGATTTATGCATACCATGTAGTTCAATGGGTTGCTTATCAGCTTTGCCGCTGCAGCCTTTATGGGCCTTCAGTTACCTACTGAGATAGGCAGGTGAGGCAAATACAGCACATGTGCTGGGGGCCATATGCAGTCTATCATTTTGGAATTACTGTAAAGGGCACTGGAGTATATGCTCCATGGCTGAGTTGGTTACAGTGTCCGACTGTTACTTGACAGCATCGGAAGTGAGATACATGGCATCGGCAGAATGATATGAACTATTAATAAGTGCTATACATCAAAGAAATCATTGTTTTGCCAGCCATTGTGATTTGTAACCCATGTTTTGAATGCCCTGTTAGTTTTTAAAGTAAGGGAGGCGCATGATCCAACATAATGTAAGTTGAAATGCGTGATTTCAGCGGATTTGAAAACTAGCAAATCCCCATTGCCAAGGGGAATCACCAACCCTGGCTCAACTAGGCATAGTGCCCCACCCTGGAAATCTCCAATGTGTCACAGTTTCCCTAATTTTACCTACTTTTTCCGCTATTTTTGCGGACATATCAAAGGGTATAGGGACTTATCCATACTTATCCGTCCGCATATGGGTACATCTGCATATCTAAGGGGTTATCCGCTTAAATAAGCGACACATGATCTTGTTCTGGACACATCAGGCTGGACTCTGATGCCGGACCTTTTCTAGATAGAAACCAGACTCTGTCTGGACCATGACATCATTCTGATATCATAGGTAGGAGCTAGGCTCAGGCACTAGGCCATAGGCCGGTCAATTCTGGACCCTAGGCCCAGGGCAGGGCAGGGCCAAACTATGACATCATATATGACATCATAGGGCACATGATACTTAGTAATCCTTACTTGGCTAGGTACCAGGGGTCCATTACCGGTCCCTGGGGGGTTTTCCCTCATGTATATAAAGCAGCATCCTGGGGCACCCTGTCCCCCAGTTTTATTCACTTCATTGTTGCGCTTAACAGCATTATCTTCCCCACACTTAAGTGCTTTATCTCCCCCCTTTACCATCAAGCTATAAGGTGGGTTTATAGGTTTTGTGATATAATGAGGTAGAAAAGGTTGGTACCGGCAGATGCGTCAGCAAGGTCCTGCAACACCTATAACCAAAAAACGTCAGAATTACGCACAAGGATGACATCAGGTTACCTGCTTGGTGACGCTCATGAAGACGAGCCTCAATGCTTGTAAGACGCGCTGCATGTATGGCCATGGCGCGTATGTCTCGTCCAGCAGGCAAAGAGGCGGTAAGGGGATCAAGCGCCGCTCTCTGTGAGGGCTATCAGCAACAATGTTAGTGATGGCAGGAAAACGCACCCAGCAATCAATGTTTTCCGCATTCACTGGTTCATAGCCACGACAAAGGACCATGAAGGCTGCATCTTCGACAAAGACATAGGTTCCTGCTGGAAGTGTAGACACAATCTCACAAAATTCCCTCGCAGCGACAGGCGCCTGTCCAATGGCTTTGAATATCTTGATACATCTTGATTGGACAGTTCGACTATGGCTAGTGTTGATGACCGCAGTTATGTTGTTGTTGGCCTCACCGTTGATGATAGCGTTGGCGTTGTTGGCATCATCATTGTGTGTGTTGTTGTTGTCATCCGCGTCACCCAGATCATTGGCATTGTTGTCCACTTGATTGTCAGGGCTTGGACTGTCGCCAAGATCATCAGCTACAATGTATGGTCGAAGCTTTTGAAGCTCTTGTTGTAGTCGACGTCGGATGGCGCGACTGTTGGGTGAGGCAGTTGGAGAGAGCGACCGGGCATGCTTGAGGTGATTGACTAGGTCTGCAACAGCCTGGACAAGAGCGTGGTCATCAGGAGGCGAGTTGGATGATAGAAAGGGCATGCTGGTCAAAAAGACAAAGGACAAAGAGCATATCCAGCAGTAGCATCAAGGGGGGAAAGCAGGAGAACTCACAAGATGGATCACATCTCCAGCCTTCCTTGTCGGCACCGGCGTTCAAAATGGCATGTGAAGGAGGGGAGCATGTGATAGGCGGTGTCCAGCGGTAGCTCAAGCAAGGTGCGCAGCTGTCAGCGGCGCCAACATGCGGCACAATCTCTGGACAGATATAGCCAGTCTGCGCGGAACATCCCAATAAGGCATGATTTTAGATTGGGGCAGCATGTCGCGCAATCTCTTACCAGATATATCCAAATCTGGTGCTATCGCTGGCACCGAACTCCGCAGGCGTTGAACTCCGCAGGCGTCACTGGCAGGGTAGGCCATGGACTAGAACACAATAGCGGCCAGGTGGAGGAACAAGGTTGTCTGCAGAGGGACAGGTAAGCAAAATTGGTTCAGGAATTGCCCACAAAAGTCGCAACCTTACTAAAATGAACATGCACAAGGTCAGGTCCAAGGCGCACATTTGTCAAGGCACAAGAGGCGCAGTCACAGCCTAAGGCGCAGAGTTGTCACTGGTGCCGTAGGAGCTAGGCTCAGGCACTAGGCCATAGGCTGGTCAATTCTGGACCCTAGGCCCAGGGCAGGGCAGGGCCAGACTATGACATCATCGATAGCGCCATATCGCACCATAGGGCACATGATACTTAGTAATTCTTACTTGGCTAGGTACCAGGGGTCTATTACCGGTCTCTGGGGGGTTTTCCCTCATGTATATAAGACAGCATCCTGGGGCATCCTGTCCCCCAGTTCTATTCACTTTGTTGTTGCGCTTAACAGCATTACCTCCCCCACACTTAAGTGCTACTATCTCCCCCCCTTACCATCGAGCTATAAGGTGGGTTTGTAGGTTTTGTGATACAATGATCAATACGAGACAAAAAGGATCATTGTTGCCATCTCTGTGACCTGTTGTCACAACATTGATGTTGAGGACAAGGCTGAGGAAAGGATGAAAGACAGAGTGATCACCAAATGGCAAACACTCTGTGTCGATACTGAGAATTTCATATTCCTTGGGTAGATAATGCCTAAGCTGCATGATTATCAACAATCTGTTAATAATGCAAACATAATCATAAACTTACCATTTCATCAATCCATGTGAAAATGTCTTTGAAGACATCTTTGAGATTGTTGTATAACTCCTCATGATTACTGCAGTTGGCTGATTGATATGGCATGAATTGCGCATAATTTGTTCTTCTGCCATCTTCACAAGCAAGTGGTGTAGCAATTGTATAGTGAAAAATAGAAGGCTTCATATGAATAATTTGAACCATGCGACACTGAGTCTGTATGTGTCAAGGCATTTGCGCTAGGCAAAACTGCCTTCAAGCAATCAAGTAGCTTGTGTTGAAGATTGTCTGGCATTGAAGATGATATAAAGGCAATAAGTTCTCCATTTTTGTTTTCCAGTCTCACTGGCCCTCTAAAATGTGATATCAATTGCTAGTTATATGAAATGCAAATGTGCTCACTCAGATGTGCATGAAGGTGACATCTCAAGGTAGGGTGTATTGGGATCTTTTCTTCCATCAATGAAATGCTGGTGTAGCTAAATAAATAGTTAGTTAAAGTAAAGTCATATCAAGATCATTATGTACCTTTTTATCCAGATCATGCAAATTAGTAGCTTTAGAGGCATCTTTTGCAAGAATGCGCTCAGTTTGGGTCCACCTGTAGTTGTTGGATCCAAGACAAATTGCAGGCACCTTGATGTTATCTGCATGTGAGGCATCATAACCAGTGGTGATCACATGCATAGGAGGCAGAACCAGATTGTTCTGCTGTGGCAGTGAAGGGATATGCTGATAACAAGATTGCCATATTTGCTTGTCTCTTGGCAAATATGCAAAAGCTCTAAAATTGTGTTAGTTTATGTATATACAAATCATAAATCACTTACTTTAATTGACACTGGCAAACATTTTATCACCTATATCAAGGTTGCTGCACAAAGCAGTCACAGGCATATCACAGTGTGACAAAACACTATCACTGAACAAAGATTGGAACTTGAAGGCCAGCTTTTGTCTGAGATAGGCTATCTTGGGAACTAGCTGTCTGATGACAATTGCCCCCGATTGATCATCTACAATAATAGGTAGGCAAAATATGTAACATACAATGCCAAAATGACTTACCTATATCAGGAGCTCGAAGTATATTGGCAATGCCATTGATCACCTGAACATCCGTTTTGCAAATCCTTGATCTCAAAGATTGGACAGCAATCAACAGAATGATGTAGATGCTTCCTCCTGCAGCAAGGGAAATAAAATGATTTCCATTACACACCCAATGTTGAAATGTGCCTAGAGGAGGTTTGTTGTTGTTGCCAGTCTGTAGATTCTTCCAGATTGTGGTGAGGCTTTGCTTAGTCTTGATAGTTATGCTAGCAATACATGAGTCTTCATACATCAACATCATAGATACAACTACTTACCTTTCACAAGCAAAAGCCAATTCCATTAGGTTAATCATGACATGAAAACCTACATCAAGTGCTTGAGCATGCTTCACTTGACAACGCTGTACAATAGTGGCTAGCTTGTCTAGTATGGTGCCATCTGGTCTGGTAGGGAGTGAAACATTTGAGTTTAACCATTCTTCCAAACTGTTATCTGCATTCCCGCTAGCCAATAAAGCCAGCAAGGAGGAGGTTTGAGTATTGGAGTCCATCCAGGGCTTCTTTCTTGTAACAACTTTTACAGGTGCCCTCCCTGAGCAAGCACCTGTGCGAATTGTTCGCAAGGGACCCACAAGCAAGAGTGCTTGAGACACATCTTGATCAAAGATCACATGTGCTTTTCAATGATAAGCACATATTTTCAAAACAAGGATTGATGCATACCATTGTCCTCCAATGAGGTAGCCATCACAGATGGGTTTGACATGTTCTCCTCAATGTCATTGTCTAATACAAGCTGATGTAAGCCAAGCAAGCATTTTTCAAAGTAGCTATCACTCACTAGGTTCATTTTGAGGTACTTGTATGGAGTATGATTCTGGCTCAGGAGACACAGCTGTCTCTGAAGACACAGCTACCTCTAACCGCCTTATAATTTGAAACAGACAGCTGTCACCAAATTGGTGTAGCAATTGGAGTAGCAAGTGGACCTCCTCAAGACTGAAGGTAAGTATCATTTTTGTGGATTGACAAAAGGTGTGCAAACAAGAGGGAATGGGGCTGGGGGAAGGGCAGGATAAAGACAAACACGCACAGCACAACAATTATATATATCCCTCATGGCACAATAGTGAGCGCAATCTGATTCACCATTTGCTGCTCCACAGATCACGCAATCTGTGGAGTGGGGTGTATCAAGTGTGCAAGGTATCGCACCTGGAGATTGCGTGACATGTTGCGCAATCAGTACATTAGCGCCCATTGATAAGCAGCTGCTGCACATGCTGCAGACCTTGTAAAAGTCACCCTACAGCATGAAAATTCAGTTTGATGCAGATACCAGAGAGCGGACAGGAGATACTCACATGTCGATGACAGCGAACACTATGAGCAGAATACCATCAGCCTTGTAATCGGAAGCAGTCCAGTAGAGGTGGCGAGATACATACCCGCTCCCCATCCCCATCTTGTATACCAGGCCGACAAAAGGACAGGCCTACAACGCCCTACACAACACTGAGCTCAGCGGCCAACATGTGTCTTCAATACGCTGGAAATACAACGATGTCATGACCAGAACGGTTCATCAGTGGCAGAATATTCTGTGTGCGCTTACAGGGCAAAGAACATGCTCAAGAAAGCCTCGCCAGCAGCCTTAGGTGCCTTTGGCTTCTTCTTCTCCTTCTGCG